GCAATCACCTACACAATCGCGATCAAGAACCACCTGATGCCGTGAAGTGCATGAAGCAATCAATCGAGACCAACAGCCTAGTTCCACTTGGGCTGTGGACAGTAAGCACTCAGAACCGTTAAGATACACCGAGAGTGATTTGTCACACTGATTCAAATTCTTCAAACCACTCGGAGCTGTGTCGGCCTCAGCAACTCGCGAGCGTGGTCTTGCGTGGTCCGGTGCGCTCAAGGGCTAGCGACTTCACCAACTAATAGACATCAAGAAGATCATCATCGGACTCTAGCCTGTTGAGACCAACATTGAGTTGTGAATGACGAGTCGTTATTCGAATGAATTTGTCCAGACTAATTATCTCTACGGACTTGGTGCCAAGGAAGAAGCTGATGAAACGGATTGATATTTCCCCAATTCAATTTTGTTGCTTTCGTCTTAAGCTCATGACGTTTGGCTGCTGTCCTGATGCAATCTGGTAGCAGCTGAGCTCCCCTCAAAGCCCGTCTTGTTTACCTTTCGCTATGGACAAACGATCTTTCAATTCTCTGTGACCTCGCACTTTAAGCCTCTCTTCTTACCTATTCCAAATTTTGTAAGACTCGGTCTTGGCCTACACAGGTGGCCAAAGCATTGGCCCGTTGTAACTTCGCTCAGTGAGGGTGCTTATTGACTGGTCATCCACTTATGGCCTACAATGCCACGATCGGATTGATGGTCCAAACCCTTGGTCCAAATTGCTCTACTTAAACATCCTTCAATCATGTCATAGAGTTTGCTTTGCTGTCTCTGAGCTCAGTGAAGGAATTCTATATCTTTTGCCATCTAGCCACTTCCAATTTCCTTGCTCACCTATTTTCCGTCTTCTCACTATCGATTTCCTTTTTTCAACAATTATATATATATTTCCATCCACCCACTACCCGCTTCCCTGATTCATCACACATTATATATATTCATTCATAACTCTTTGTACCCAAGAACCTGTAAACAAAATGTATTCAAATCTCAACTCGTTTCCCAAGGTGATCAATCGTGAAGCTGGCTTCAAGTTCCCTAAGTTTAACACACCTGTGTTAGACACTCCAGACGTTACACCCAACGAGTTGGTAGATTTTCACGTTACTCACAATCCATCATATCCATCTGGAATCCTCGCTGGCTCCGAGAAAGATGGTATCGCGAACGATTATCATACCGTGGAACGAAATAAGAAGTGCGCTGCTCAAGGTGTACCACGAATTGAGTAGCACATGTTCAGCGGCTTCTGGTACTTCGCCTGTCGTCGGCTCATCGCGTACAGCGAGCCGTTGGTTTACTTCACCGTGCTGTTGGGCATCATGAAGGCAGGATGTGTCGTAAGTTCCAGAGTGTATGTTGTGGAAAACCAATTCTTTGTGCTGAGCGGTCCCTTTTCTCCCGTAATTGTTACAGCCCTTTGCGATTTCCCCGAGGAACTCTCCGGCTGCGATCGCTCATCTGCTTAAAACCTCAGGTTGTCAGAATGTTTATGTAGAATTCGACCCACGGCTCATGTCCCACAACGACTCCAACATGTCAGTTAGCGAGAAAATGAGTCGAGACCAAATGGATGAGGTCCTCAAACTTTTGCCAGAATCGCATTTACGAGAGGTAATGGAGCTTCCATCAGCGCATGCTCTCTTCCCCCGCCTCGTCACCGGGTCTGCGTATATCTTCGACTCGACGGTTCACGAAAAACTGGAATCGATTCCAACGCCTCTCAAAGCCGCTTGCGAGCCGGTCATGATTCTTCATTCGTCAGGCTCCACTGCGTTCCCCAAGACACTCTATATGAGTCGATCTGGCATTCAATCTTGGCTCAGAGCCCCACTTTCCAACAGATTCTGCTGGGAGGGCGAATTGACCGCGGCCATGGCCTTGCCAGCATTTCACGCGATGGGCTTCCATGTTGGATCGTTGATCAACCTTTCAACAGGTTCCATTTCTGGATTCTTTCGACCCGAGTTTGGGCCTGATGGCCGATGCAAACCAAAGACACCCAACTCTTTCAACGTAATCCAGGCGATAGCATCCTTAGGTTGTACTGTCGCTTCCTTGAGCCCCATGATGCTTACTGTGAGTCACGCAATGAATATATCTCTTTGTCATCACATACCTCTAAGTTTGTATTCATCCACAGGAATTTGCCTCTGAACCGTCGAGCATCGAAACCCTTCGCACCTTGAAGAGAGTTGGATTTGGAGGAGGACCACTCAACACTGAGATTGGGAATCAGCTTGTCAAGGGTGGTGTCAACCTCTGCGTGGTGTATGGATCGTGAGTGCACCCTTTAGTTCCCTTTATAGTCATCCAATGTGTGAATTTAACCATTCAATGTTCACCTCCTCAATACAGCACCGAAGTCGGCCCAATCTCCGCCCTTTTTTCTGATCGTTGCTTAGGGACAGATTGGGAGTACTTCGAAATGTCACCCCAACTCACCACTCGCTTCATACCGCATGAGAATGACCTCTATGAGCTTGTCGTACTGGTGAGCTGCGCACGGGATTGATATCAGTTCGAACAAGGTCAAGAAACTGACTTTCTCTGAATTTTTCAGTCTTCTGACATGCATCGATGTTCGACCACTGCAATCGAATCAACTCTGTCACCTCAAACGTATCACACCAACGACTTGCTGGCCAAACACCCTACACTTCCACTGTATCGCGTTGTTGGACGTTTGGATGACCAGATAATGTTATCCAATTCTGAGAAGACCAATCCGTGAGTATATCTTCCATTTTGCAAAATATATCTATCAGCTCTCTTTTGACATCCCCGATGACTCTTACAGAGGACCAATGGAAGCCATCATTGCATTTAACCCTGCTATCAAGAGTGCACTAATGTTCGGAAGGGGAAAGCCACAAAATGGTGTAATAATTGAGCCTGAAGAAGCCTTTGTTCTCGACATAACCAATCGAAAAGCTGTAGAGGAATACATCTCCCGAATTTGGTACGTTTCTCCTATAATTTTCTTGCCTTCTTGTTTAAGCCGGGATTGACGATCTTTTCTCGTTTGATAGGCCTTCAATCGTCGAGGCTAACAATTTTGGACCCAGTCACAGCCGATTGACGCGTGACCTGATCATGATCATTGATCCCAGGGTGACGCCTCTCCCTAGAACATCCAAAGGCCAACTCTCGCGCCCCAAAGTCACCGATATGTTTCAGGCTGAGATTGAAGCAAAGTATTCAAACGACCAACCATTAGACTCGAATTCGGCATTTCTTGACGTATCACTTAATCCTCAGGAGATAATGATAGGCAAAAGCGTGCGCAATTGTGTAGAACACATTGTAAGCCTGGTTCTGGATGGTGATATAGACCCAGAGGAAGACTTGTTTTCCCAAGGATGTGATAGGTAAGCCAACCTTTGAAAACCTCATTCTTCATTTCCACATCTTGTTGACTTTTATCACGCCTCAGTTTACACGCAAGACACATTCGAACCCGCATTGTGCAGCTCATACAAAAAAGCTCTAAAAATACACCTCATGTTCCTCAAAACATCTTATATCGTTACCCAACAATCTCGATGCTCACCGAGTGGGTTTTGAGTATCCTTTCCCATATCCCATTATATTTGTCTCAATCTGATGAAGACAGATGCGCACGTTTAATCAAGATGATCAAGAAGTATCAACCGAGCATTTAATAGAGTGACACTTTTCCTCGAGTTTGTGTCATGAATACTTACCAGTTCTCCTTGATTTCTTGCTACTTTTATATTGACATTCAAATACACGTGTTCCAGAATAGAATCATTGTATGTCAGACTTGTTTTTCTTTGCTTTTGAACCTTTATGTACTGGTATACACAAGACCTGAGCAAAAACACAAATAATACGATGTAAATACTGTAAACAATGTAGAAAATGTAACACCCAACCGCATCAACCATAATCTCACATCCACATCCAAAGGTGACATCCGTCACGTTGTTTTGTCCTCCACAACCCGATAAACCACATCAACATATTGATATGAGATTTCATTGAAAGATTAGAAGTACTCTACTGTACTCACCTCAGACTGGAAATATACAATCCGCCTAAATTTGCCATTTCTCCACACTTCGTTGCATTCGCGATGAGCTTTTAGCTAAGCACTTGTCAACATGGGGTGGAGGATTCTGGATTGAACTGACAGGCCCTTACATTTGAAGCTAAAAATCTCCGTTAGCATTTCAGTGTATAGATCCTCATTTCAGATCTCACTGGAAATGATCACGTACCACAGTTACACAGCACAAGGCTCATTGGAATGCGGCATGGGGTCTTGACGAGGTCAACGATATTTCATACATCTCATTCTTACTGGTGCTACGAAATTTTTCGGTCAACTAATAAAAACAATGATGTCAGTAAAATTCAAGCTGTGATTTCTTTGATTGATGACGGCCTGCAATGTTATTTGTGATGCTTACATATCTCCCCATTGGCATGGATATATCAGGAGTTTCCATAACTGAATGGTTTTGTCAGTCCCACAGAAATGCTCTCATCACACCACAAACCAGGTTGAGCAGTGAGCTATATTCTTGCCTTGAGAGCCCATATTCATAATTTTTGTGATACATAGGGAATCATAGATGGTCTCCTTGGACTCTACTGATCCTTGAGGAGGACTCAAGTAAACTTGTATGTACCTTTCCCAGTCCTTTGAGTTCCATTCAAACCAAATCACGCTTCTGAAGCAAAATATGGTACATAATCCCAGTGTTGCAATCACCGGTGGTTGCAATTTTCCACTCAGATCTGTTTTGAATCTTGATGAACGGTGAAACGCTGAGCCAGGGAGAGTTTTGGTTGTGTACTATGAGTATGAGTTAAGTATTTAAGTTCAGCCACCTAGAAATTAGAACTGACTGTAATGTGAATTTGCAATCCAATTGATTATCCGAAGCTTCGGTTCATCCATCGATCCCTTTTATCATTTATCTCAACTCCACCTCATTCAATCAAATCTCAAGCTCACAATGTCCACTCAACCACTTCTTCAACGAGCTCCAGGAAAGAAGATAGCCCTACCTGTTCGAGTCGAACCAAAGTCAGTACAATTCAATTTTTCATTTTCTCCAGAATCAGCTTACTAACTTTTTTTATATCTTTTTAGAGTCTTCTTTGCCAAGTTTGTCCTTCCCTTACCTGGTCTATAATCTACTCTAGCATCTTATGTTTGATTCCTTTAACTCGGTAGTGAACGTACGTTTCTCTCTTGGTTGAACTTCACCGTGGTACTCGGTGGACTCGCGGTCGGGCTTCTTAACTTTGGTGACCGAGTTGGACAGATTTCTGCTGGTATCTTTACTCTTGTTGGTCAGTTTAGGTCGTCTCGTCAGATTTGTAATCGTGATGTTGACAAAATATCCTCACTCTGTTACTTTAGCCATGGGAGTGATGATCTACGGTATGTAGTTTTCAATCGGGAGAATGGTGCAAGAGTTTTGGAATGACTAAAATTTCTGCTTGTTTTTCAGCACTAATTACATTTCACTGGAGGGCTCAAGCCATCAGAAAGCGAGGTTCAGGGAACTATGATGACCGATACGGTACATCGTCTCCTTGTATCTGTTCTCCGATTTTGAACTGATTCAGATTGTTTGCTCTCACAGGTCCAACAGTCCTTTGCATTTCGCTACTTGGTACGTCTGCTCGTAGTCCTTGGCTTGAAGCATATTTGGATTTGTGAAGACTGACGACGTGTGATTCTTGGTTAACAGTGGCAGTCGTGACCAATTTTATCTTACGGTTCACTCAAGGTTGAACGATTCAAAACGGATGTCATCATATTGTTCTGAACTCTTTTGCCTCTCAATGTTAATCCTTCTTTGCATTCTAATTCAGTAGGTCTCTGATTTTGCACTTCTTGTTGCGACGCCTATTTGAAGCAAAACTGACCAAGGTTTGACCTCATCTTATCTTCTATTAGATTCGCATGTCCTCGTCTATGCCTCGATCTGGACTTCAGTAACCCATCTAGTTTTCTCTCCCCCGTCGCATACATGATTTTTCCCTGCCCATTTTGCACACCACCGTGTCCATGTCTGTATTTTGCAATTTTCAGTACACTTTTTTATCAATTAGTTTATCAGAAACGCTGAAAAATCATAATGTCAGTCTCAATGGTCGCAGGCACAAACTCAAGTTGGTCTAATGTATGGCAAATTAAACCAACTAGGCTGAAAAGTGAGCTCCCTTCAAAAGGATAACTATCATGAATGTTTTCAACTCACATGGCAGGATAGGTACAACTCTGCTTTTGGACCAAACACCAACATGATATTAAATTCTTGGTACCAGAACTGCGTGACTTTGAGGCCAGAAATATCCCTGAGTCAACATTTACCTGATGAACTGGGGCGGTGCCCGTCACTCCTGTATCAAAAGTCGCTGACGAAAAGCAAGGGTTACCTGACCGCTTCCTGATGACCCACACCACCAGTATGACCACAGATGATGAGTTTGTGGTGAATTTGACAGGGATTAAGTTACATCATAAGACAAAAGGCAGCACGCGCTGCATCCGCAAGCGTGGAACGCGGCCGGGCGAGGTGCTCTTGTATTGTGAGAAATCATAATCCATAAGGTGAGAGAGGCTGAGGAGATCATGTGACCGTCAGACCGCTTATCCTCGAGCGAGATCTTGTATGAAGTCTCAGGCTCTATATACTTCATACTCACTTCAGTTCTTGACCAAGATCTTAGCTCTTCATGATGACTTCATAAAAGTCAAACCCACTCACCCTCACAACTTAGCCAAGAACGAGATGTCAAACAGCTCACCTCGACCAAACGACAAACTTCCCACTGGGTGGCTACCGAATGAAGTACTATCTTCAATCATCGAATTCTTCGTTATCCAATCCGAGACTGCACGGTTGAAAGAGTACAGCCGAACCGCCGACCTTCACCCATCGTCCTCCAGGCAACTTCTCAGTTTGCGACTAGTTTGCAAACAATGGGCTGGAGCTGTCACCCCTATCTCGTTCCGTACCATTCACTTGGAGGCACCCGGAAACGTGACGTCTATACTCGAAAACTGTAGGACTTTAATTTGTGACCCAAACGTTTCTTGTCCAGTGAAGCGCCTTGCTCTCGAACGTCTTTCATATTGGAATGTACCCTACTATGAAATCTCGGATGAAGAAGATCAAACTTACGGACCCGATTATTATCAAAGCATAATGCCAAACTTACCTCCGATTTTGATGCATCAAGCCGCAAAGTTGATCCAATTCCTGGGTGAAAACTTGACAGAGTTAAACTTAACTTTTGGCAATTCGATGGGCTTCCCACCAGCCATGGTGGAATCCGTAAAACAAATCAAAGGTTTAAAAAGATTGACTCTCGACAAAGAGGGTCATATACCAAATAAAAAAAACAATAACAATTTTAGATCATTATCGGATTTACTTAACGCTACTCCTAACTTAGTATCTTTGGTGATGAACCTCGGACATTTAGAATTAAAATTAAAACCTCAAGCTCTATCAAAGCTACGATACTTGTGGTTTTCATATGCCCCTACCAACGTCGAAGGCATTTCTCATCTTTGCCAGACCACCAAAAATAATCTGAAAGTGATTGAATACTCTGCAATGATTGAACATGCAAAAATCAGAATCGTCATTGAACCTATGAAAGACACTCTTGAAGGACTTTATACGCATAGGATTCCAGGTGGACTTCCTAGTTCGATCACCGGCATGAGCTTGCCAAAACTTCGTGTGGTTCGTGGCCGGTTTTGGAGAATTCCAGGTCATATACCAGATCTTGGTTGGCTTCAATGGCCGATCCTTCAGACCGTTCGCACTTTAGTTTTAGATCTCTATGACAGCCAAGATTATTGGGGAACCGTTTTTGAACAGATTGGTAGAAATCAGCTTCAAAAACCACCTAATTTAAAACATTTCATTTTTATCACTCATCAACCCTTCAAGAAATTGGAGGAAGCAGTATCTAGAACTTTCAGGTGTCACGGGATCGAGTGTCATTTTCTTCCTGAAGTAGGACCTGATCAAATCTTGGTATGTTTCAATCTGATCTATACATCAAAGGTAAGGGGACAAGAATTTTAATTTAATTCCCTTCTTTGATTATTTGATTCATAGGAATTTGACTATAAGCTCAATGGGCCAATGTAATGAGCAAATCTAACCACAAGACGTGTCCACATTCATAAATGTGTGTGTTTTCCCAAAGGTTCAAGATTGACTTTACTTGTGCCATTCTTTTGATCGACATGTCAAAAGGCTTTCTTACGTCATTTATTGACAAGAGGTCAGCTGAAGAAATGGTTTATGATTTACTCAATTTCAGTGAAAAGGGGTGATGCCATTTCAAACTCCCTAGGTGCGACTTCACCTGCCTCTCCCAGCTTTCCAAAGATTCGTGTCAGAAAGATTTGAATCCATAGTACTGGACTTACTTGAAAAGTAGCTTGAGTATCCAGGGCTGTGAAAGGCGCGATTTAAGACGTGTACTCGTTGATGATATATCTTTGTCTCTCTGTCTTGGTAGAAATACATCGATGAGCACAGAGAGACCATATCAAAGAAAGCACATGCCTAATCTTGAGCCAACTGACAAGGGGCGAATATATCATGATGTTGGAGTGGGATGTGTTTTTGCAAATCGGGCTCTAAGCATACTTGAGGGATTTGGGAGTAACATCAATATTCCATTTCAAACCTAGAAAGGTGTAAACGTTGAGTTTTTTAATCATTCTCAATGCATAAACTATTTCTGGTGCTGTTATCTATCTTGTATTACGCAGCAGAAATCAAAAACATATTCATGTTCGATTGCATACCAAACCAGCAGTAAGAAATTCGGTCTCACCCCTTTGGAGACCGGTATAGTCAGTAGCCTCAAGCATTTGGCTTTTGGAGAAGCGATGTCAGGGATTTTGAGGGCGATCATGGCGATAGTTAGTTGGTTCTTGAAGGGTTTCAGCACTCGGACCTCAAGATATAGTTCACTACTTTTGCTCTCGATATCCGTTCTCTATCGTGGAATTGATCTCACCATCCAGATTTTTGTTGATCAAAACACACGATAGGTAGATTAATTTCATGGAGATTATAGATTTATATTAGATATGATAAGATAAAAAGATCATTATAAAGCCCAAAATAAGGAAAAGTAAAAGATAGGAAACCATATTAAACATATCAAGCAGGTGTAGCAAACAGACTAACATTGCTAGTCTGTTTACCCATCATAGTTGAACCTGGAAGAGCAAGATCAGCTTGAATACCTAATGGACGTGAATCTTGATCATGAACTTGAAGTTGATTAGGCTCTAGTGGTTGAGCATCTTTGAAGTGTTCTGCTCCTGCCAAGGTATCATCACTTCCGTTGTTAGGAGGTAAACCAGCTTCAACTATCACATTTGATCCAATATCAATCACTACAGCTTCTTCTTGAGCAACTAAGACTGTTCCATCCATAGTAGTCACAGTTGGACCGGTCACTTTTGAGCCAGGTTTTGCTACACGATAGTTGATACGCTTGACGAAACGTTGATGGGGTAGTTTAGCGCCAGGAACGGGTTCAGAAGAATCTTGGTTCTGTAAAATAAATGGACCGAAGGCGTAATTGTAAGTTTCAATGATTTGGGTTTGAGGAGATGAGTAAAATGGGACAAACAAGAGCAATTTCTTCATATTTAAGAGCTTTAAGAACCATGTAAAATCCAACAGCGAATAATGATCCAATCATAGGACCTATCCAATAGACTGAGAAGTAACGACAAACAAGCAAGAAAGGTTAGCAAATTTCCATGCTCCTTTTGATTAAGAAAAGACGTACTCCAATGACTAGTACCGAAATCTCTAGCGACGACTGAAGGTCCTAATGCTCTACTAGGGTTCATACCACATCCAGTGTAAGCAACTCCAACAAGATGACAGATAAAAAGTGTGAGTCCTCTGTTAAAGTAGAAAAAAACAATCTCAGTTCATCTTTTTTCATAACTTTGAAGCTTGAGGAAATAAACTCACATTCCAACAGGTGCCATGAAAGTACCTTTATGTTTCTCTGCTGCTAACATTAAGACTACGAATACCAACATACTAGTCAAAAGAGCTTCTAAAAATAAACCTTGAGCATTTGTCACTTCAGCTGCCGGATGTAAGACAACAGTGTTGACTGTTCCATGTGGAGTAAGTAGTGCTACTAGTCCGGCAGCAGCAAGTCCACCGGCCAATTGTGAGATTGTTAACAAGGTTGCCCTGAACCAACTCTGAGAAATGAAAACATTTCAGTTCAGAAGCCAAACATTTTACGCATAAAAACTTAATGACTCACAATTGCTCCGATCAGCCATAAAGCGAGGGTGATTGCTGGATTGAACCTATGAAAAAGTAAGATGAAAGACTTAGTGTAAGAGACGTATAGAAATATTTGAACGAGAACTTCAAAAGTCAAACGATCCAAACTTACAAAGCTCCAGTAATCCGAAAGAAAGCCCAAGCAGTAACAATAAGACTAAGACCAAAGCTAAGTGAAATATAAATAATAGTTTGATCGGCAAGTCCAACAGTCGTGATATCCGCTGGGTTTTGTGCAATAGGAACTGAGAGTGTAGCTGTCTTGGCTCCAGCGAGAGCAAGAAACAAAAAGGAGGTTGTACCGACAAACTCTCCTACTCCTGCTAATATATCACGTCTATGAGTAAGTGAAAGTCGATTGAGTTTTAATGTGCGAGCTAGGGTAGCCATTATTATTTAGGATAGATTTTGAGAGTAGTTGTTGAGATGGTTATGGGCGTAGTTATGAAGGTTTTCAGTGAGCTTTTGTATAGGAAGTCGGTGACCAGGAGAATTAGTAAAGAGGATTAGGAATTAAGATAAGATGATGAGGGAGATGAGTGAGATGAAGACTGGATTTGAAGAAACGTAGTCTTCCTTTTATACGATAATCAACAGCAGATGCCCTCAAGTGTCTGACCAAGACGAACAATGAGTTGGCAAAGCTCAATAGATTGAATTGTATTCTGAGCCTCTGCATTCGAAGGGATCCGCCATAAAGGCAAAGGAGGCAGGTCAGCCGTGAAGATGGCACAATTTGAATTATTACGGTCACAGCAAACCAATTCTGGTCGGAAGCTTTGAATTGCTTTTCTCGTATTTTGTGATAGACTGCATTTGAGAAATTGGTGCTGAGCTGGATTGTGATAAAGACCAAGCCGATTGGCAAATAGAAGAGGTTTGATTACCATCACAGCTCCTTAAACCAAACCGAACCGTCCACAAGCCACCTGTGATCTAATTTGATGAACAGCTCCCCTTCATCAACATAACTTTACAATTTTAGTATAGACCCAACCCCTCATGAGTGTCATTTCCAGTTACTCATAATCATATGCGACCCAATTCAGAAAGTCGCCACCAAGCCATCACTAAAGGTAAAAGTCAATTCAGTCCAAAAAAACGAAATAAGTACAATCAAAAAGATTCTATTGCAACAAATGTGCAAGAAGATGAAGTTGTGACAACTTTTTCTTCATGATATCCAGCACGCCAATGGAACTCACTTTTGGGATAAGATAATGACAATCTGTTCAAATCAGTCATGAAACCAAGCGAACCCCCAAACCGAGTGCGATCCAATAACACAATGCAATGAGCTCTGATATCGTCATTTCCCATAACGTTTTAAATTTCAGTAAAGAAGTCAACAAGCCAAAGTCACAAAAGATTTTCATTTCTTTGTATGGCATTTACTCAATAAGACAAGTAATTTAAGAAAGAAGTCGTCTAAGAAGAACTCAAAAGGCCCAATTCTTGAAACTAGTATATAGACAGCCCGCAAGGGTAGATCTCAATTAAGACCAAAAAGTCCACAAATCAAAAACGATTTCTAAATTTCCAATTCATCAAAACTTCTTCCAAAAACACAAATAGGCTTTCATGCATATCTACTACATCCAAATATATAGTGTATATGTATCTATAGCCCATACAATTTACAAAAAAAAACAAAATGTGGTATGTATTTCGTTTCGTTTCTTGGTTGTGATTTTTTGTTTGTTTGTTTTACTTCCAGCTTTAGTTGAAAGGATTACAGTCAAACCATTTGCTTTGTTTAAAAAAAAGTTCACAAGTTCAAATGCAACATTAAAGTAGCATAAAACACACACACACACACACACAAACACACACAACAGAAAGACATTCAAAAGAAGACACACACACGCAAACACACAGCATTCTTTCTTAACCTCTTGGTTCCAAGGTTGATTTGATTATTTGACGATTTTTCAGATTAGACCATAGAGGTCACCGCAGGAGTAGAAACTGATTTCGAACATGTTAATGAAAGACATCCAATGAATTCTAAAAAGGCCTCTCGAGTCTTTTCTTCATTTGAATCATGAACCAGATGTGCTTGACCATATCTTTCTAATAAACCAACACATTGAACATCTGTGTTGATCATCAAATCACAACCAAGACCATGTCAATCAATCTATCCTTGGAATAGTCAAGATTTGAGAAAGATTTCACATACGAGTAAGTTTGTTTGCCTCTTCGATGGTTTTGGGGAAATCTAGAGGGTAGGAAGGTGTCATCGTCGGTAGTGCGGCCGAAAGTGGACGTAAAACCGAATTGGGCTCTGATTGACGAAGGTTGACTTGCCGCGTGGCATTCCAGGAACTAAAGATCACATACGCGGATCAGACTTTTATTCAGTAAACATTCAACCCCACCATAGTTACTTCCTTTTGAATAGAGAAATGAGAGAAATAGATTTACAGCTCTTGTTTGATGATCAACTCTTGTTGCTTGACCACGCTTTGTAGATCATCGACTGTTTTGACCAAACTTTCGACTTGAGTCACGAGCTGAGCTGTCACAGGGTCAGGCTGGGAATTCGGAGCAGTAGAACCATTGGACGTATTACCAGGCTGACTAACACCCGTGATGGTCAATAGGTTTTTCTATATTTGAAAGAAGTCAGTATCAGTCCTCGCTGACCATGATTATCCAGGCGGGTCTGGGTACATCTTCAAGAATCATAAAAGAAAGCTTCAAACTCAACTAGAGCTGGAGCCCTCAATGGGCTAGGTCTGAGTTTAATTCCAATGATCATATAGTGTGTCTTGCCGTCCTCTAGTCGAACCACCACTCTGCCATCAGGAAAAACGTCTTGGACAGCCTTGATGACCTCGGTAGCGGGTGCAAGCTGTGGGATAGGTTTATCGCCAAGAACTCCTTCTTGTACATAATGAGTGAATTGTTTTTGATAAAGTTGCCACAAGGTAACTTGTTCGACTCCACCACCACCTGGACCAGCATTACTAGTAGGGTCAGGTTCAAATAACGAAGCGATCCATAAACGGGTTCGGTAAGGTTCTGGAAAATGTACAATTTTAACTACATCTAGCTCGTCCAAAAGATCCGGAGATCGGCTGTTAGCTATATGGCTTGGCGTAGAGTTATGAGCGTGAGCTGATTGATGATTAGTTGAAGTGATCATAGATGACGATGAAGGGGTAGTGTGTGACGTATGATGAGCTTGGTGAGGAGTCGAGGGTAAACCGACACCTGAGTGAGTTGAAGCGGTATCTGATGGTGCACGAAACATGTCATCCTAGAGTGGAATATCCGATATGAGTACTTGCAAGTAAAAGACCAGCCCGAATCCAACCAAAAAGACATACCAAAATAGCGTCACGTTCCAAGGCAGGCCTGAGTTTGAGTCCTCTGATCACATATCTCTTCATCCCATCAGGTCCAACATAGCTATCCGGTCGAAAGACGGTTTCCATGACGGTGATCACGTCTGTAGCAGCCGCCAAGGGTGGGATCGGTACGCCTGCATCTTCACCTTGATGAGGTTCAAATTGCATTCGGTACATGCCCCAAAGTGCCACTTGCTCAATCTCTCCTTCAGGATCAGCCTCAAACATTGTTGCGATCCATGCTCGTGTACGGGAAGGTTCAGGTAAACGAAGTACGCGACGAAGGTATTGACCGACGAGCAAGTCGGGAGCCGTGATTGTGGTTCCTCCGACCTGAACCGATGGGGGTGGAGCAGCAGACATGTGTGATTTGATTCGGGTTCGATGAAGTAGTTGAGATCGATTTGATTGAAGTTGATGTATTAAGTTGAGAAAGTGTTTTGAGTGTTCTTGAATAGTGAGTCCTTGAGAAATGAGAAGGTTGAAGTACTTTTTGTAGTTGTTGTTGTTGATGTACTGAGGCTGAACTCAATCAACGGGGACCGTTCATTCGATGGTTTGATCAATTTCTCTTTGTTACATGTCATCACCTCTCGATATTACGATCTGCTGTGTGCTGCGTGGTCGTATGCTAATACCAGCTGGTAGCTATGCTAGTATCGCGGATGAATGCTAGTATGTAGTGTAAAATGTCATGACACCTCGTAAACATGCCACTGTGATTTTTCTTATTTCAATTCTACCATGGCAGAAATCAGGATCACTGATTTTGATCATTCAACTTTTAAAATTCAACAAACATCCTTCTCTTATCACATCAAAGAATTGATTACATCAATAAGGGTACTCAAAGCAAAGTATGTAGCGCTACATACTTTTCGCTACATACTTTTTTTGGCGGGGACAAAGAAAAAAAATATACTTTTGGCCTCGCCTTCCCCGCCAAAAAAAGTATATAGCAAAAAGTATGTACTTATCACATCAAAGAATTGATTACATCAATAATTCATCTGACAAAGAAAAAAATGAATTCATAGTGTTGCAATACTAATAGAGGTGTAAATGTAAAAAAGAGTAGAGGAATAAGAAGCTTTTCAGTGTTCTTTTCAATGATGATGAATCCAGAATTTGGTTTGAACTTTGACTTCAAGGTTTGAATACATACTTATAGATCAAGCTTAACTTGATTGCTACGTATACGTAAATAACTTTGTGTGAAAGATTGTGCAAGTTCATCTTCTGAACTTTGATTGCATACTTGAGAGTATGTATGAGACACAATCATGATTTTCCTTTGTCTCAAAATTTAAGACTCTATAAAATAAAGATTCAAATGAAACTAGGCAAGATAGTCACAATTTTTTCTCAAACTCATGGAATATCTTCTTTCACCTTCCATGTTCTGTAAACTTTCAAGTATGGAAATCTCACTCCAATAAATAAGATGAAAGTTAACTCCACTCATCTCAAAGTAAATCCAAAAAGATAGACTTCAAAATTGGTCCATGATATCTTTAGTACATACAGGCATTGTCCTCACTCTTTTAGCTTAAGCTTTTATTTTTTGAAACACAAGAATTGAATGTTGAAGTTCTATTTAAACTTTGTAATACTACTCATGATACCTGATAAAGTAGTAAATCATCAAAAAGTTCATCATAGGTTGAAAACCTGTTTCATGATCAGAAAAAAACAAAACTTTGAAACTATCCAATCAGTGTCACCTTTCAAGATCAGCTTCAAATGAAAGGTAAAATGTTGACAGATAGCTATAAATGATGAATGATGAATGTATTAACAATTTTGATCAAAGAGATCCGAATGAGAAAATGACTTACTTGATATTCAATTCAAGCATAGAGAACCATAAAAGCTGCTCCAACACTCATGGCCAAGTAAGACAGTTGAGCTTGTCCGCTAAGAAGAGAGAATACACCACTGGCGCTCTATATTTTGACATTGAATATCAGAAAATGATTTCTAGAAATTTAAACCGTTTCAGATGAATGAAAAAATGACTTACAGATGGGTAAGCACCATCTGGAGATTTGATATCGGGTTGTTTAGGAGGCTCAGGAGTCTTGGGAGGCTCAGGAGTTCCACAGGTACAAGCACTACCATCGGATTTCTGAAAAAAAAATTCAAATCAAGTTGATCAGTTTCTTGATGCTTGATTTTGAATCTTACGAATCTGATGAAAAGAAATCATTCTCACAGTTCCAGTGGCACCAAGCTGAAAAGATTGATTTTCATCGAAATCAGTTTCCAACTTTTTTTTATAAACAAAACGTACAGGATCAAGAATTTCAAGAAAAAGTTACTTACACCACCTTCAGTTTTTGAACTGTCGAGTTTAGATCCGTCAGATTTCACAACAGAATCTTTTGTAGCGGAATCAGCTGGTGAACCGGCAGTTTTCTGAAAAAAAAAACCCAAAATGTAAGGAATTTAAATTGGTTTGGTTCTTTTTATTTTTGTAATATTATAATAAAATATTTTTGAAAAAGAAAACTTACAGATCCGGTCAGGGGGTCTTTCTAAAGATGAGAATGAAGAATAAAAAACCCATTCAGGTCAGTTTTTTTGGATCAAAACAGATCACTCAGAAATCATGACTTTTTCTTTCAAAGATTTCTTTAGAACAGATCAAGAATATTTCTTACCGCGGTAGTGGAAGCCTACAATTGATAGTCAATAAAAAATTGAATGTGTGTACGGTCAGCTACATTATTGTGATACACGATCATCAGGTGAAGAAATTGAGAAATATTTTCACCCCAGGACCATTCTTTGCATCTAGACCAGTAGAGGTTGGACCCGCCCCAAGTGTGCCACCAGGGGTATCAGCTGGAGTCAATACGACTTCAGAGACGAAGAGTGCAAGGCAGAGGAATGCAAGTTGAGCTGAGAAACGCATGTTGTTGAGGTATGAAGTTAAACTGCTTTTTATACAAATCGTAAGAAGTAAAGGTAAAGTGTTTTTTTGTTAAAAGATTCAAGTTAAGAAGTAAGTGTTTTTGCTTGCTTGAGATGCGAAGAAAAACTTTGGAATGATCTTTTCAAAAGCGAAGAAAGAAAAATGAGATCTGATGTAAATGATAAGATTTGGTTATGAACAAATATGTACGGATGTGGAATGATTGTTAATGGTACGAACAGTGAGTGGCTTTTATGTTTGATCAGTTGATTGGTTGAACACCTATATCTTACTCTCGAGCTTTCGGAACTGGTCACATCGATTGCGATAATACCTTCGAGTCAGATAATTTACCACTCGAACACGATGACAACTATATCTCCTTTGACCCGGTGACTAGGGAATCGTCAAGTTTCTTTCATCGTTCTTACAAACAAAGGGTGGTGACCGATGATTTAAAGTTTTGGGAAGTCAGGATGATTGATGATTGAGTCGATTTACAAGAATAAACATATCATGGGAGTCGCTTCGACGCAAGAGTTTTCGAGCTGACTCGTGATGGTCAAAGGTCCTAACGATTTGACGTGGTACACATAGTCAGAACAAGTCTATGAAACGAAAGACGAGGTTCGCGATCGAGCTCATGATCGAGGTAGACGTCAATGGAAATCTATGAATCAAACACACTCAACAGATCAATCGTGAGTGCCAAATGCTGCAAGATTTTTACATAGCTTACACACAAGCCCTCTAGGCTCTCATGACATGGCCGTCTTGAAGGTCCAAGGCATTCTCGCATTCAATGCCTTCAACAGACTCCACGTCGAGAGTGATAGCTTGGAGTGGTTGTCTCAGAGCCTCAGAGGGCCAAAATCCACGGTGTAGAAAAGGTTCAACCTCCAAACATGACAAGCCATAATTGAGAAAGTTTTTTAAACCTCTTTGACAATTTGAGACTTTGATGGATTTGAGAAAAGTGTTGCAGAAGTCAGTAATACTAAAGTGAGAAACTTGAAAAATGATGAATGTGTTGTTTATATATTTAAGAATCAACACCAACCAATCAAAATCACCTCATTCTCAGATCATTCCATCCTTTCTTCACTTTTTTGACCATTTTTCCTAAATACCTCATAGCATCACATTTTACAATACACGCTCAATCGGGCTCTTTCACGAATACAAATAACTGATCTCTATCATTTAGATAAATGCTCCTTGTGCTCAAGATTGCTTCTTGCTCAAAAACGAAGTATGGTGTGGGTTATGTAGAATCTTGAATTATGTATATATCATTACATAGCTTATCTTGTTTGAATAATTATCAAATCTTTATCAGATAAATCAAAGAAATTATCAAGACCAAATCAAAAGGTGATCCATCCTAAGAGTACTTTTACATTTCCATTTCTAACAATCCAAAATCTAATCAAAACAACAAGTCAAAAAAAGAACAATCAAACCTTATAAGACCACCATAAAACCTCCTCCTCCTCCTCATGATCTGAAGATATCAGTTTGATGACCAAACCAATCAAAATCAATCAAAAACCTTTAAATCTTCATCATCACTCGAATCACTTTCTTCATCATTCCAACCACCACCCTTAAGAACCTGTCGAATCTCAGGTAAACAAACTTTAACACCGATCCTACCATTTTCCAATCTATCTTCTATTTCATCTTGGTTTAATTTTCGTTTAGGTCCATTACACGTACTTGATGATGATGTTGATGATGATGAAATTGAATGGTTTATAAACCTATTGGCTACTTTACAATCTAGTTCAGGTCTTTTGGATAAGGTATTCGGAATTGGATCTGTTCCGATTTGGTTGAATGAATCGTTTGGATGTTCTTTATTCCCGACATCTTCTGTGGTTTCATCTGATGAATCTGGATCGTTTTCCGAACCTTTTTGGGTTTGATCTAATGAATCATCTGAGCTTTCTTGATTATCAGTCCCTGTTTGGATCGTAAATTACAAAGTATTGATTAGAAACAATGGATTCAATAGTTGACGATCAAATTGTATTTCGAAACTCACTTGATGCTTTACTTCAACAAATAAATTTCCATCAATTCGATTAACAAAGCAATATGTATCAGCCTGAATCCGATGTCTGAGATGATATAATCCAACTGAAGGTTCTTTAATTTACCTTTCAGAGCTTGCCTGACTAGATCCTTCGAGTTCAGTTGAAGTTTTGATTTCTGGTTTTAATTTATTTGAATGAGTTGAAGAGCCTTGAGATGAGGATTGTTCTTGGTCTGCCATGGTTTAAGAAATGTCTTGAGTCTGAAGTGTGAAAGTGAGAAAGTGTTACATACAGATGGATGCTTATGTTGATGCTTATAGCGAGTGTATCTTATAAATCGAATTTCGAATTTCCGCCGTACTTCAGCTGCCATCAATCGATCAAGCTTAAAGAAGAGGAAAAGTGACGATTGAAAAGAAACAATGAAGAAGTTCATAAACGAATTCAAACCGATCTCAATCTCAATCACTTCTCAACTCATCAAAGTAAGTCTCAAATTCAATCATTCAAGAAAATGGATGAATTCTAATATCTTTGAGATTTCTAATAACAGACTAATCCAGGAATCGGATCACAACCTACTTCAAATCATTCTCGTTCATTTTCTCATTTCACTTCAACATCAGTTCAGTCTAACTTCTAAACCTCAACATGACATGAACCATTCGAAGCCTCACACTAACCCAATTTTTTTTCTAATTTTTCCGAAAAAAAAAGACTCAAGCCCAACGTCGTCATAAACCCAAACCCAACCCATCAATCCAACCCAACTCATCACCGAATCCCAAACTAATCTCAGCATTAAGACAACAAGTGATCACCAATGCAGACACGACTTATGAAAGCTTACCATCCGTTACATCAGGTTTCGATCAAATCAAACTCAGCAAACCATCTACATTCTTTAAAGCTCGTTTACACCTCAGTTCGTTTCCAAAGATCGGACTAAAGATCACCAGACCTGCAAAAGATACTCAATCCTATGGTCTAAACTTTGGTGTCATGCCTCGTCAAAGTCTTTCGGGAGAAGACGTTTCCGAATCCTTGTCTACTTCAGGTTTACAAGACCAATTAAGTTTAGTAGATCGAACTCTTTTAAAACATCAAACCAAACAACCTTCATCAAATAAACCAGAACCCAAGAGTTTGGTTAGATCGGGTCCTAAAACCGGTTTCGGTTCTACAAATCATGATCCTAGAATCCATAAAGCTTCTACTACTCTTTTACCAATCTCTCATAAAAAACTTCAAAAACTAGCCGATCTCATCAACCGATATCGAATGACAGTTGACGAATCTGTCTTACAACTTAAGTTTAGTCATAAGGCTGTGGCAAGTAAAGTGTTAAGTTTGGTATTAGAAGCTAGAGATCAAGCTGTTGCAAGAGGAATGAAACGAGAGAAATTAGTAGTCTGTGAGTCATGAATTTTTTGGGGGATCAAGTGCTTGATAAATTTATATTCCATTAAGCTCATCTCATCCAACACTTGTCTATCAATTACTGATACAAAACAACTATCGATTGATCGTTTTTTTTAGCTGAAGCATGGGTCACCAAAGGCTTTCATACTACCGAACTTCAAGTAAGAGCACGTGGAAGGCATGGTCAAATCACTCATCCGACATCTAAGTTTTGTTTGATCTTGAAAGAATCTGAATCGAGGTTCGAATTAAATAAGAAATCATTATATAAAGCAGCACAGAAAAGAGTTAAACAGAAAGGTATCATTCCAGGTGGTTCTTGGAGATTACCGGCTGATGGGGTGGTGCCTACTAGCATGGCTTACCAATCTACTTGGGCTTGGTAAATTGTTAAGTCAGTTTAAAGATCACTCGGCTTGGATTTTGTTACATAGTTAAGAAGTATGAAATTCATATTAACATTAAAGCTTGGGTCGTTGCGGGTCATATTGAAGGTCACCTAGACAATTTTCAAGTGGAACTTTGAGTCCAAAATGTGAATTTGAGTTCAATGATCATTTTCTTAGACTTTCTTCTTGATCGATCGATTTGAACGCTAGATTGGTCTGCGGGTGATGGTATTTGACTGCTAAATTGGACTTTAACGGTTTTTGACTGGTAAAGTGGAGTTGCACAATGTGCTGTGAATGGTTAATTGAAATGCTGTGTACTGTGAATGATCTGAGTCCTCATTGTGGCCTTGACTCACATACATACCTTCAGCCATCACATCTCCCTTTCCTAAGAGTATGTTGATAAGCCATACAATAAATTCCACATCCATTCATCCAAAGATATCACCTGCAATCTTGGTACAAGTATTGCCCTTTTTTCAAAAAAAGGATCCAAGATTGTGTTGTTCGAGTTATGAAACAAATCGATTTCAAATTTCTTCAATCTTTATACAAGTTTACATTTACAGCTTTCAAAAGAAAAGGGTTACAAAACTTAATTTTCAAGTTTGATAAAAAACAAGAATTGTATTACCACGAAATTCATTCGACTCCAAATGCAATAGTCTTACAACCTTTCAAAGCAAAAAAACCCATCACCCAGAGAGAGAGAATCAAGATTAGATGAATTGATTTGATCATGAAAGTCTTAGAATTTGATTAAAAACAAAACAAAGAGGTTTGAGACATACCATGAATATCAGTGATTAAAACTGATTGACCTTGATCAGAACCAGCACCAGCAGCTACCCAAATCGGTACAAAATGTTCTTCACGTGGATGAGCGATTTTAAAACCTGGTAAGCTTTTCAAGTTCATTAATCCTTTAAGTCTTTCTTCTGTCTGTTATCAGAAAGAGAGAAAAAAAGTAGAAAACTAGATTTAGTTGATGCTAATCTAATGGAGATTTTGTAAATTAAACTTTTCTTTTCTGAGACTTACATTGGATTTAAGTGAATTTGAAACAATAGAAGATTCGAATTCTAAAACAGGTTTACCAGCCGTATCTGCTGTCCATTCTGACCAATCTTTAAAAGTATGAATCGTAAGTCCACCTGAAAGAATTAAAATGTTTTCATGTCTATAAAGAAATTCAAAACAAAGAGAATTTCGATTAACTTTTTTCATTTCAAAAAACACTTGGAATCTTGATTTACGGTGAAGAAAACAAATCTTACCTTAAACTTGAGACTGCTTTTCCTAATTGAATGTTTTTCATTGGATCTAATGAACCATCAATTGAAACCTGAATCACTGGTATAGGAAATGTACCAGTTTCTCCATCTGGAAACCTAAGAAAAAATCCCAAAAAAACAATTCAAGAACCGATCAAAAGAGAGTTGTTATAAGAAAATATTAGAATATATGTTAAAACTTACATAAGTTTAAATGGAATAAAAACTCCATGATCAATTCCAGCAGCAGGTCCGACCTTTCCATCTTCACCTCTAGGTTCAAGTCTTGTAGTAGTCCTAGCTGGAATCCCGGCAGATTTTAAAGTAGAAACTACGTGTGATGAAATCTCACTTGATCCATTTGAATGCCATTTAGTAGTATAAAAATGATCAGGAAATCCATAGTAACTTTTCAATGAAGGAAAACAACAACAACATCAGGTTAGTCATCATCAGTTTTGTGTGAAGTTTAGAAATTTGAAAATGTTTAAACTTACTCGTAGAGTAAAGGTTGATCGTTTCCATAATCGGTCACTATGTATCATGATTTTGAAGCGATCGAATGATGAAGATCAGAAATTTAAATGAAAAGAAATTCTATGAAAATGAGGTCAAAATCAAACATGAAGAGTTCATACCTAACATTTCACCCTTTTCTTCCCAATGGGCTGAAAACGTTACGATTGCTGATGGAGCATATTTACGCAATAAAGCAGGACCGAAATCTTTTAAGAATTTGTTTAATGGACCATCAACTCCTTGTAAACCACGTGGACCAAGTTGTTCTGAGGGAAAATAAATCCCTGGATCTGATTGTTCAATACATACCCGAAACAAGTCAGTTTCAAGAATATCGAATGAGACTTGAACGATATTAACTTACGTCCATGTGCCTACGATATCATGAACAGATCACAATGTTTGAATATCGATCAACGAAAAGTAAGCAATGAAACAAGAAATTCAATGGAAGAACATCGAATCATATGGAAAACTCACAAAAAAGAAAGCAGGAATCGGACCTTTGCCATTTTTCCTTTCAGGTAAACTTTCAAGTGCTTTTAACCAACCAGATTGAACTGAAGTATCGATTTTAGTCATCTTGTCTTTGGTAAAATACGATTGATAAACTATCGTTGAGATTAAGATCAAAAAACTTATGAAGATGTTCAATCGAAAGCTCATAAACTGATTAACTTATTTCTTTACAAGTGAATGAAGTAGCAAGGGAGCACATTCGGGCATTTGAAGAGTGTTTATATACTCTTTTTGATAATTCAAGCTGATGACTAAGCGATTGCTTGATGCATGTATGACCTCATCTCACAGTCAATGATGAGTCATCAAAGTTAAAAGAATATCATTGAAACCGCGGAAAAGTTTGCTTCCATCGGGTTTCAACCGAACTGATTCCCGCGTTGTGAACTTTGAAGAATTTGAATCCAACAATTGACATCCAGAGCCAAGCGTCTTCCAATCAACAAAAATACCCCCGGAGGCAGTGATCCTCAAATGCAGCTGGTCAAAAAGAGTGCACACCGGAGTGAGCGGTGTTTGACTTGTACTGTATGACCTGACCTTGAAGCTTTCTGACTGGCCCCGGGGCCGGCTCGGGCCCTGGCTTGACCCAAAAGCCTTCAAAGATTGATCAGGGCCAACCAAGGCACACCCCAAATCTTAGAAACCCAGGGTACAGCTTGATTTTGGGTGCAAAATACATGCAGAAGAGATTTTTGTTTTAGGCTCATTTCTGGACCAGCTCTTGGGACAGGTATAAGCCTCAGGATTGGAGCAACTCAAGAAATGGGTACAGTGGTATCAAGCTGTATTTTGGAAATAATCAGCAGGCACCCCAGCAACCCAGTCCACCTGATGTGCTCACAGGGCCTTTGATGTTCCCGTCAGTAGGTTTCCAAGGTTTGGGACATGTACCATCAACCACCAAACTCCTTGGGCACACTTGGCCAGGCAGGGTTAATACCAGGTCATAGCCCAAGCATTTGCCCTGTGTTGTAACTACTAGTACAGAGCTGTACAATTACAGGTATGGTGCCCACCACTGTTGAAGACTTTATTATTCTCAATCAGAATCATCAAGAACTACAAACTTGTTTGTAGACATACTTGCTAGTAACAAAAGTCCATCAATGTTGCTTGAGAAGATGAATGCCTTGGAAACTGATCACTATGAGTGTGTATGGTTTTCAAAATGAAAGCAAATGTTAAAAGAATTCAGTGGTGTGAAGGTGTACCAGTGTTTGTCTCAGAGGATGTGAGAGATGAAGTTGATGATTCAACTATCATAGAACATTCAAATTCAAGCATGGGAATGGTCAGGGCACAGGTGGGTCAGGGACATAGAAATCAAAATAAGCAGATAAGTAACACTTAGCACATAGAAGAGAAGCTAAACTGGATGATAAGTTGATTGAGCTCTTGCTAATGAATTGTGATATATTGCAGAGTGATATTTTTAAAGATTCACCAAAAGAGAAATCTGTAAAGATCCTCTTTTCTTCAAATGTTGCAACAATTTTTTAATAATAAAACTCTTCACAAGGTTGTGTCAGCCCTGAGCCCTGATTACAGGACCATGGGCTAACAGTACCAAGGCTGTGACCCTGACACGGCCCTGCCCAACCTTGCTCAAGGAGTTCTGAGAGACTCACGGTATGTGTACTGGGGCTTTCAAACCTAACATGATGAGGCTCACAAAAGCCCTACAGGCACCCCGGGCGGCCAGTTGGGCCAGTTGGGCCGGGGTGCCAACCCTTTTTCTACAAAAAACTCATGCTCACAGTGACATATTTTTTTGTTACATAATTTCCATCTATATTCACATATCCTACGATAATCAAACTTCAAAGTTATTTGTTGATCATCTGACATCACCTAACACCAATCACCAAGCATCCCAGATTCCCAATACCCAATACTCTAAACCCACCTCAACTCAATATACCGGCTATATCAACTCCTGTGACAAGATCTTCATTAAGTTGCACAGCAACCTCTTCCAGTACCACCCCATCCACCTCTGTCTCCAAGATTGCCACCAATGACACCACCACCGCACGCTCATTGTGGGTGTGGCAATACTTTGTCCAGAAATACATTCACAGCATTATGAATAATTTGCCAAGCCTCAAAAGTTTTCATTGACACCTATTACACTGAAATTGAGGATTCAAAGATATCAGCTACAATCTGGAGCATACCTCTGGCTCTCAATGAGTGCAGGAGTACAAAACTGATGATTTGACACTTATCCCACACTCATCATATTGAACCACCAATAACAACCAATCAACCCGCAGTGGCTGCTTTCTATATTGATGATGACCCAGTTCAGGCAATTTGAGGCTTGCTGCTATTTATGGGATACAAAGTAAAACCCCGGAATGAATTCTCAGTTTTTTCCCCAGTTTTTTTTGGCTGTAGAATTAGTTTGGGAAAACTGGGAAAACTGATTCTACAGCCAAAAAAAAACTGGGAAAAAACTGGATTTGATTCAGGGTTTCTACTTTATATCCCACATTGGAGTTGGCCCCAAATATATTTAGCATAGGGCCTGCCACTGCAGCAAAAATCTGGGGCCCTATTGGTATATTTGGCAATAGGTCCAATTTGGGGGTTGTCACTGTGGATGCTCTAAACCAACAATTTACGCTCCAACAAATGGATGATGGAAGTGAGTTCAACATCAGATGATATAACCCCATAGAAGCTTGGTGGCAGATTAGTGTCCTTGAGATGGAGAGTCTCAGGCTTCAGCGACATTACAGTGACAATATGTAGAATATAGATTGATGTTTCTTGTAACATACCAACTTGAGCAAAAAAAAGGCAACAAGTGTTCAGCAAGATACAAAAAAATTAGGAAGCCCAATGATTGATCACCACCCTTTTGCAATTCTGGGCAGGTTTGCACTGATGATGAATGTAGTACAACAGTGAAAAGTCTATGGAGATGTGGATAATCAACTTGATTGCACTCAAGATTTGAGTTGACCATCAATTGCCAAACAGTCACCAGCCGGATCAAGAAAGCCTGTAATCAATGATCATACAGGATGTTCAACTTTACAGTCACCCTCTGTAAAAATGGTGCAATCCGCATACCCTCATTCCTCACAATTTTTTTTTACAATTTTTCATATAGTGGGAACCATCAAGACACAAGAAGCCACGGACCGGGTAGTTTGTAATTACATACAACAAACATCTGATTTTCCTCTGGTACACCCTTGACCGTCAGGAATAAAAAAAACAAGAACTTCGAAAATTGGTCTTCTGAGGATATTTTTGAATAGCCCTGAACGAGAGGACCCCAAAAATATCTTGATTTTTGAATTGAGTGATATTTGTGACTTTGGCAATCTTTTTTGAAAAATTATCTGATTAAGTGGCTCTTGATGGTTCCCACTATAGTCTAATTCATCTTATCAACTTCATTCAAGAACAAAATCACATCAAACCCCACACAAAAAAGAAAATTATTATAAAATTTGATAAAACAACTTAAAGACTATTAGCAACACCATTTGAATGTACAACAGAGCATTCTAAAGAAAAAAAATCACAGATCATATTTTATCTTTCAAGACAAAGAAAAATAATATTAACAAAAATTATTCAAAAACTAAAAAAACAAAACAATCTTATAAACTCAGTTTAAGATTCATTTGAAAAGGATCAACACTTTTCTAATCTTCAGTTGTATTTTCATGGTCTTGGTGGTTTGCATTTTGTTCTCCTTCGTGTCTTTTCTCCACGTTTGGAACCTGATGAGTTAGAAAGACATCCGGAAATTTGGTTTGATTTTCAACAGTCGAACAGAGATAGGTAATATAGTTTGATTTCTATCATAGGATTTATAAATAGATACTGATCAACTCACGGCAAGTGTGTCTGGATCGAATTCCTGTTGGGTAAGTTCTGTCTTCTGATCTCCTTCGTCTCTTTTCATCAGTTCATGTTCCTGATGGTGGATAAATAGATAAGAAACTACATAGGGACACCTATATGAAGATCATTGTATGACTTACTTCTTTCTCTGATTCTTCTCCGAGATACTAATAGGAAGCAATGATTAAGCTTCTATGTCGGGGATCAGCATTAAGAACTAACCAATCTACTCACACCAACTGATTCTTCCTTCTTTTGATCCTGGTCCATATCGTGGCTTTTCTGCAGTGTGTGTTCCTGAAGTTTGAGAAAAGAATGTAAGAAACTGATCAAAGTCATGCTGATCTTATGATTGATGACTTACTTCTTCTTCTTCTCCTTCTTTAATTTTTCCTACACCTTGAACAATCTCATCAAGTTGACTTCTTCTTTTCATATTCATAGTTGGAGTAACGCCATTGAGTTCAGCAGAAGGCGTGTCGAGACCAGCTGGAAGTGTGAAAGTTTGATCAAAGATGAAAAGGGAAACAAACAGACAGAAAACGAGAAAGTTCAATTGTAACATTTTGATTAATTGTATATATGATTTGATATCTAAAGTAGGGGCTAAAGATTGGATTGAAAGTTGTAAGAAGATTTTGATAATAAATGCCTAATTTATTTACTTCGATTTTTTTGGTGTTTTGATTTTGCTTTATGGGTGCAAGTGATGAGTCGAAGGGTTTCTCGATTCCAGGGATTGACCTCGCTCTTTATACGCGATATCGAGAATCTCGATGAGATACATAGGTGGCGCTCAGTACGGTCACCATATTTCTCTTGTTACCCATCGAACCGCTGACTAATCGGGCTTGAGATTGATCAGCTCGAAGGTGATCAGCATAAAATGTAAATTATCGACTTGTATCATAAAGATATCCATTCCTTCCTCGTGATGATTGAGGATGATTATCTGTCACTAATTAATTCCTTCAATAGATATTTCTATATACATCTTGACTAGCGTGATGATCCCTCGATGTTCTTTGCTCCCTGGTGTCGTGGTTCATCTCTACCTCTCTCTGATTGTCGTTATGTGCACTAGATCAACCGGATCATGATTGTGCGTTAGAGCTGTTTGGTCCTCAGTCTTGGTCAAGCATGATGGATAATGAAGTAGTGATAATTTGGGTGATTTTTGATACTTTAATGTTCGTCATGACGGGTTTACTGATCATCAAATCACAACCTCACTTCGATGGTCGATGTTCGGTGTTGCATGTTCGATGTTTGGTCGAGAGGCTTTGGCTGAGTTGAGTGTGTAGAGTGTTCAAGGTTTCTTGAATCGATCAAGTCAGACTTTAAATCAAACAACTACGTAGTCAACTCACAGCGCTGCCTGTGCGCCAGTGCATCATACAACCGATTTGGATGCCTCCAGGTCTATGGTAATTGACTTCAAGCTAGAGTGTGGACTCAATCGTACTTCTCATTTACTCCTGCTTTGGAGATAATAAGGTTCTTCAAAATGCTATGAAATGCATTGTTTAATCATTCTAAAGACCGAAAACATATTGTAACGAAAGGGAACGAACAGCAAAGAAAAGCTAATGCAATTGGGATAACAAAAAAAAATCACACCATTCTTCTTTACCTATTCTATGCATTTTTCTTTTGATTCCTTTATCATCATCATTCGAATCTTACTCATACTTTCATACAACATGATCAACTTTTAATCCTCATAAGATCTTTAAAACCCTTTAAATCATCTTTTTACCTCTTTGTCTAAATCCCATCGCAGGTCCAATCGTATCCATAGCCAATGAAATACTAGAACCACGTGTACCATGTGAATTTGTAAAACTTCCTTCTTCTGCATATTTACTTTTATCTTTCTGTTTCTTTTTGATCACAAACAAAACTACTGCTATCGCAAGTATGATACCTGTTAACCAACCTAAGATATTCCACCATGATCTTGAAGCTGAATGTTGATTATGATGTCCATTTAAAAATTCTTCATGAGGCCATGTGAGTTTTGGAGGTGAATTGGGTTCTGTTGGTCGATTGTGCATTTCGGTATGTGGTACTGGTGGTGGTTCGTAACCTTGAGGTGGTGCATAGGGATCATCATGTTGTGTTGAAAGTGGTTTGAAATGATCATCATCTTTGAATGAAGAACTTGGAGGGTGTAGAATCAGATGTCTTAATCCTTCAATTTGTACTGAGAGGAATGTTTCATGATCTGTTAATCTACGTTCGAGTGCTTCAAGTTTTTCTAACAATTTCTCAACCTATCCTCATTCAACATACAAATCATCAAACACACATCAGTACGAGTTACAAACGACGTCTATCAAATTATAAAGTTTTCGTACCGAGTGTTCTGGCAGTTTGTGAACAAGAGTGTCCAACTGTTTCTCTATATGACCAAGACGGTCTTCAGGGAAATGATCTTTAGCTGAAGATGAACCTTTATGTTCATCATTTCCTGTAGGCCATTTAGAATCCGTTAGTTGATCTAATCGATTAGTTAACTTCTGGACAGACTCTGCCCATTGTCTTTGAGCATTGATAGTTTCAAAGGTCATCTAGCGTAACAGCACAGAATCCGAAGGCGAGATAAGTTAACGAGAGACCACAGAGACTATAGACAGAATGCTTACCGCGGCTTCCTACCATATGATCAACGGATACGATAAATCAAGCCATCAGGGAAATGATACCTTCAAAATTAGACATATTTCAAATCTTACATCTTTTAGACCACCGGTTCCTTCCAGCACGACGTCATCAGCGGGTGTGTGAGTCTGTGTATCATGTTCAACCACATCGGCTTGATTTTCAGCATGTCCTTTGATTTCTTTCACATCAATTGCGTATATATCCATATTATCGGGTTCTTCATTAGGACTTGCAAGACCAGTCAGACCAACATAGTAGCCTTTGGGTAATTTAACGTTATCCGCAAAGAAACATTCCCGCTTATAGTGTCTTTCGTGACCTGACAGTGTAGTATGAGGTGTCAAATCGAGGTGAACCTAGAGTAGAAGAATCATCAATTTTAATAAATCGTGCCGGTCAAGTATCAAGACGAGTAACTATAAAAATATGGTCACTAACTGCTATCGTTCCGGCCACATGGGTAATCTTAGCCCAGATTAGACCTTGCGCATTACGAAGTCCGACCTGACAATCTCCAATCACATGACTCTAGGTGGTGAAGACGCTTCCGATCAGAACTTACACCAACCAGCCTTGAGTAGATTAACTCTGAACGGAATTGGTTTATAGCCAACAATGAAAAACTCACCAAGTAAGCAGCTTCATCGCTCTCCTGAAAATCACTTCTTAGTTTATCTTCAATCCATTTCGTATGACCTTGCCCATCATCCATCACACCACTGACTATTGCCCATTCATCTGCTCCATGACCACTTTCGTTTGCTGACCAGTGTCTTCGATCTGATCTCAAAGTGACAGGACTCATAGGTTGAGTATCAAAAAGTACACCTAATCCATCAAAATTAGTTGGACCTCCAAAGAATGAAACCGATTTATCAAGTGGATCGGGGAACTTGTCAACAGTCATGAGTGGAGCTGGAGCTGGGTGAGCTTTAGGGTCTGCTGGAATTACAAGTTTAGTCGGATTAGAAGTCTATTCAGACATGTAGACATATATGATGATCAAATAAAAGTAAACAAGAGTTTTTGCCTGTCAGACTCATTGCTTCTCAAATTCAGATGACGTGTAAAGGAAAAAAAAGATGATCAACAAACTTTAGTGTACCAAAAAGCTAAACCTCTACCACCCTTTCCACGAACTTCATTTACAGTATTGTTCTTTTCAGAATTTGGAAGTCGCAGTGCATGTGGACCACCATGAATTCGGAAAGCGATTTCTAATCAAAGACATAAATCCACACTTGAGTTCGATATGTTGTTTTTGTATTATAAAAGATTTGAAGAGTAACAGTCGTACCTACAGACCATTGATCGAATGTGATTGGTTTTTCTGTAAAGATACCACCATAAGCTAAAGGAAATGGAGTGACTAATCGAAGGTAATCCTTTGCACTTGGCAGTCGATGCCTGCAAACCAGATCGATCAGTTTTTTTGATTGAGGTTTCAATAAGTCTTGAGAGATAATTTCAACTGACGTGCTACCGGAGATATCCCAATGTGGAATATGACCATCCTCAGGTAATGGACCTCTGAATGAGAATTGTTCATCTCTAATTGCATCTGCTGATCCATTGACTGTTGATGGGATTATCGATATGAAGAGTAAGTAGGTGAGACTGAGGATCATGACATGATAATGTTGATGATGATGATAGTGCCTGAAGGAATTCTTGATGTTTGAGTTCATGTTATTGTTTTGATGGTGGTGGTATGTACTGAGTCAAATCGTGGAGCGTGTAGCTCAGCAAGTACCGAAATATACACAGGTACAGCCATCGATCAAGCTGTAAGGATTAAATTTTAACTTGTACACTTCATTTCACTTTTTCACTTTCCTTGAAAACAATAACGGTACTCAAAGTAACTAGGTGGTTTCTGACTACTTTGAAACCTAGAACCTACTTTTTTCTTTTGGCGGGGATTTTTTTTAAAGTATGTTTTTGCCAACTGGGCAGCTTTGAGGACCCCGTGCCTGCTTTTACCATATCTTTAGCCTCTGTCACATAATGCCTTGCATTGGCCTCCGGCAAGGTCTGGCCGTAGATCTAGTCCAAGCCTCCGGAAAGGTCTTATCTACCATTTATTCCACCTCACAACCTCCGTCTTACATTGGCTTATATGCCTACCTCCACCTCAACATCATGAAAACAGCATCGGAAATCTTAATCAATAACTCCGACAAAGCCCTACTGGTCTCCATCGACTCCCTTGTTTGGGCTTTGAACAACTTCCTTATTGTTAAACATGTTTCTTTTTGAGTTTTGTTAGGTCATTGGAATGAAAGTTTGGTGAAGGTGAATGAACTCGCCCTTTCGTCCGCACAAACAGTCATCTCTACATTTATGGGCCTGATCAATCCTGAAATGTTTTTACCAATCGTAAGTCATTCACTCTATTCCCCAAGCCCTCGCTGATAGTTGGAATGCAACTGATCAAATTCAACTTGAAACACGTGCTCAGATATCAATCATTTTCAAAACGATCGATCGATTCAACTCTGTCTTAAGAGGGAGTTGACTCAATCCCTCTCCCCTCAGGCTTCTATTCAATTTTATTCAAGTCTTCATTTCAGAGATTCACAAAAATATACCAAGAAATACACAAAAACAATAACAAATTTTGAACGATCGATTGATTTAAAAAACAACCAATTGTCACACTTCTCACCGGTTCAGATCATAACTCACACCTACTCACACTAATCACTCTCAAATAGATAAATTTTCCACATATAAGCATCATAGTTTTCATTTCAGAGTAAAAGGAAAATAAAAAACATGACTATAAGAGTCTTTTGTGTCTTTGGTATCAAAATCGAGAGAATTAAGAGTGAAAAATTGTTTTTTATTGGTTTTTATTTGTTGTGAATGAGGTAAAAGAGTAATTTTTGTGGTTTCAATTGTTTGTACTGAGAGGGGACAATAAAAAATAACCTGTGTAATCTCGTGTATTCAGAAGGTAGTCATCGGGTTTTGAGGTAAGGAGTTGAAGGGTTCACTACAAACCGTCAGTAAAAGCTTTGGCCATCTTTCTAGCCTGGGCATGAGGAACACCAGCTTTAGTTATGGAAAGCAGTTGTGGGTGAAGCGGGAGACAGGGTTTCCGGAATAGATGGTGGCAATTGATCTGACATGCTGAGCGTGAGATGGTGTGTGTGGTGACAGATGGGGCTCAATGACTGAGAAAATTGAAAGTGGGCACCCGGCACGGCAGTACAAGAGTGCTCGCCTACTTTTTCTGGTTGGTGCCTACTTTTTGAAGTTAGGTTTCTCAACTAGGTCTAACTAGGTAGATTTCACCTAGTTACTTTGAGTACCATTAATTCAACCATGGAACTCCTGACTTTGACTAGAGTCCCATGTTTCTCCTATTGAAGTGCAACATCAAACGAGTCCCTTCCTCTATTTCAGATCCTTTTCCTTTTAAATCACAAATCTACATAGGCCTACTTTTTTTTGTGATCTTCTGAGAGTGTGATCTTAACAAAACCACTTGGATCCTCGAATTATACATCAGCGAAGAACTCGTGCCCCAATAAACGTGATGTTATCGAGACTAAGCTTGTGATTTGGATCAACTTGGATTTCTAGCTTTTGGTGGTGTTGATCATGGCGCAAGTTTTTTTCTCATGATGAACTGAAGTGATAGATTATCTTCACCGCTGGAACTTGAGGCTCTGCACAGATGGAAAAATGCATTATCACTTTGATGGAGCCCAAGACCAGAAGCCACATCATCCATCTTCAGATTTCACGAAATACCTATCCAAACTTCAGATTAAATGCAACAATCAATAATTTAGTTGGAGGAATTTGACCTGTTAAGAAGATCAAAGATGATACTATCTCTTTGGGTGGTCCTAGGCTGAAGTCATCTGCTTGAGATGGAATGATTATAGCTGTTTGTGAAGCACAAACATCTGATTTAGCCTGTTGCTTCTCTTGACCTCCCTTTCCTTGACATATCTGTCAAAGAAAAGTATATCTTCATCAAACATAAGATAAAGAAGGATATGCTTGCTAGTGGGAATCTTTATGACACAAATCATGCATTTGCATCACCATATATCATTATGTCACATATGATGAAATTTGGAGTATACTCATGTGTACTCCTTCAAGATGACTGCTTATATATCTTTCCATGCATGTGAATGTTTTGAACTCTATTGCTCTGTGGGTTTACTTATGAGAGACAGCATCGAAAGGTTATGAGAAAATATTATGTCTACATAAATCACTCCCTGATTTTCATCTGCAATGTATGTTATCACTGAAAATCTGGTGAACAGTTGTTGTTAGACTGGAGGAGTTCAAGTCAGGCTCAAGAGACCCTACAGCAGGTAACTTAAATTTTGCCTTCCCATCTTCACAATCTCTCAGCCAGCTATCCTCAAGCACCACTCTGTCAAGCTAAGTAATGCTGTAAATCCTGCTTAGTAACTCAACATTTATTGAGGACTATAGCAGAATTTTTGGAGGTTAAGCCAGTGGCGGGCATCTACTTTGAATAAATTATGAGGTTGGGGGTATCCCTGAAAGGGGAGGAAACAGCATCAAAGGTTTAGAAAAGAAGAATGCTATAATTGAGTAGAGGACACTGTCCTGGAATAGTATCTGTCCCAGGCTAAATCAACAGCAATCATACAAACAAATACAGAAACTCAAGAGTTATCAGAGAAATCTCAGCAACTGCCATGAGTTGAAGACCTTGCAAAGTAGGGAAAGGGCTCAACATTCGTTACCAAAGTCCAGTTGAGGAAGAAAACATATGATGGAAGCTTCACATTCAGTCTGCTAATCCTGGAAAGGCAATCATGAAGGTGTGCTTGAGATGAATGGCTGCCTCCCTTCCATAAACACACTCAGATCACCCATTTTTTTGCATTGCTTTAAGTGCTTTTTGACCACTCAAATATCTTGACAGAAGCACAATTTTAGAAATGTGAAACCATACGATAATCAAAGAAGACAACAAAAAAGTTGACATGAATAGTTGTGTAGAGCAATTATTCCCACTTTACCAATCCTGAGATCAAGATAAAGAGTCTGAACAAGCACAAGCACAGCCCTTTCCTTTTCTCTGCATTTTCTTCAGGCCAACCCTCATGAGATAACATCTTTGACCCAAAGAAATCAATTCAAAACAATCCCCTTGCAAACTTGAGCTTGTGGTAACACAGTCTCATGCCTTATGTGATGCTACCCTCTCACACGCTTTTTCTCTTTTTGTTGCTATGTCGATGATCTAGCTTTCGTGGCCTTTGAGTCCGGTTTGGAGGTGTCCAGTACAATTTTGCAACCCAAATCAAGCATTCAGGTCGTTTTAAAATTGAGACCCAAGAGCCCCTTCTGGTAGTCTGACATCGTGTTCTATGTGGTGTATCCGGAAGTACTGCCCCACAAGTACACTGAAAGACTTCTTAGTCTTCAGGGTGCCGGCATCCATTAAATCCTGCTACCACAGCTGTTTTAGTCAAGAAAGACGTGATCAACTCTTGAATCAAAATGAACACCATCTTTTGCACTAGGACCCTGGGTAGTAACATCATCCCTTGAAGTTAGGGTGAGACTCAATCGAGCCCAGAAATCCCTCACATTTCTCATTTGTGCTGATCGGGTGAGGGTAGTGGGGTTTGCACCACCATTGCAAAACACATTCAACGCTGCTTGTACTGCAGTGCCATCCTTGGTTGAAGCGGGTTTGTATGACGGAATCTACATACATTCGGGATGCACAATCACCGTTGCGATAAATTTCTTCCTCTGAAAGGGTTTGTGCGTGTTTCGTTGCTACACTCATCTGCTCGTCACCGTCACCAGGGCTGAATTTAGGGTCCACCTGATGACTTGGTGTTTGTCTTCTTGCTTGCAGGTGGGCCTTTCGTAAAAATTCGGCAGCGGCGAGCTACTGAACTGTTGGTGAATGTAATTTAAAGCCTCCGGGCGTCGCCTTACAGAGAACAATCTCGTATTTTATTCTCTTTATTCACTCAAATTCCATAGCCACTCCATCGTGTGTCTTCTCGTCTGAGCCAAAAAGAATTATTAAACCGTGTAGTGCAACAATCACTCTCCTTTACCTCACCTTCTTCACTAACAAATTTTTGTGCATCCGATTCCAGCTTATTTTTGAATTTCAAGTCATTGTCAAAATGCCTACTTTCAACGCTATTACCTTATGCCTCGGTCTTCAATTCTTCTTGGGTAGCTCGATAGTACACGGTCTACCCACTTTTGGTTCCCTGTCTTTCCCTAACATGTTGGCCGTCAATGCTTCCGCCTCTGCTACCGCGTCTGCCGAAGCTTCCAGCAAATCAACACTTTCTGCCGGCGCGCACGCGAATGCAACTGCAGGAACTTCAATAGGCCAATCGGGTGCTTTGACAATGGTGAGTACTAACTTCACCGCTGACTTTCTGTCTACTGCTTGCTGATTGAGATGTCCAAACTTCCAATGCGCTGTAGCCTGGCCTTGCACCACCGTCTGACAGCAAAGGATGCGTATGCCAAGAGTCTAGCAGCACACAAGATACTATGACTCCTCCACCAGTCAACTCGGGTGTCACTGACGCGAAGCCAAGCGATACCCCTCCAACGGAGTTGAAGTCCACCAGCCCAGACAGTGGCAATTCCTCCTCTCCCCCTCCTGCTGAGACAGGGGCTCAAAACACATCATCTACCCCCGACGTAAGTAATTTGTCTTCAAACGACTTGAGGCCGCAGTTCGGCGATCGCTCGTGCTAATCCACAGACTTTGGCTTGGTCCATCTTTCAGACTCCTGCCCCCTCATCTGGCGCTTCGGCTATGATCTCAGACTTTTCAGCAGTTATCCCCGTTGCCATCAGTCTTTTCGGTGCTGTCGGACTCCTATTTGCTTAAGTGCCAGCGTCAATCACCAGCTTTTCCTCCGAGCTCTCGGACACCCACGAAGCACCTTTTGGTTCGTAGCGGGGTGTTGCACAGCCTGGCTTCTTCAGAAGTATATAATCAACATTGATATTGGGCCTGTCTCAAAATCTCTCGTACCTTTTCAAGACAAAGACGTTTACAATTTCTTAGATGATAATCAATATTCTTTTTCTACCTTTACCACGCCTATCGTATCAACTTCCATCTTCCAACACTTTTTACTTCACACACTCATGTTACCTTCTTCGTGCGATGGAATTCTCTTGTCTACCCTCTTTAAAGAACCCCAGGAATGTCCAAGCCGTGTAGATAATTGAAGCATACTATTGACAATTCCGAGTTAATTTTCATTGTGCAGTAGTCAAAGTTCACTTGATACTACTTTTCACCCCAAAATGAATATGTTTTGAAATTCAGCTTAGATGTTGCCTGCAAACACCCCATCCGTAAGCTCCACAAAGTGGAGTGGGTCTACTTGCCGAAATCGCACTGACAAACCATGCTTCGCAGTTCGCGCCGAGAATTATTGGAACGCGGAAATTTATGGCCATGCCGGGTCAATGATTGTTGTCCAAAGCTTCATCCTCTGCTGCAGAAATCCAACACCTGAACCTGCCACGATGCACTCATTCTACGCGTACTTTGAAGTTCGGTTGCACCACTACCAAGCATGATGCAAACTTCTGCAGATGAATAGATGACCTTCATTCTTTGATCAATATCCTCACCATTGTGCATGTTCATGAAGGTTGAGACTTGCTTGAAAACTAAAAATCGTCATCAAAATGATCTTACACCTACATTGGAGATCAGTAGAAAGAGCGGTGATGTTATCAATCATCACCTGATCCAAAATAATTCAAGTGTTGTAAGGTTGATTCTTCTGCTTGCATGCAAAGACTGGCGTGGATGAGATGTCAGGTTGAAATCACTCGCAGAAACATTGTCTTTGATTTGATGATTGAAGACAATGTAAAGAATGTGACATCCACTGTGAGTAGGTTTATTTCTTATTGATGTAAATCGATTTCAGCCGAGGAAACCATGAAACTGTATCCAGAGAGCACAAGATCAACTGGTCATAATGCAAGGCCGTGTAGCTATAGTAGACAAATTTAGTGACTCGAGCAACTTCGAAGCTCTACGGCTGGTATCAGTTTGAGATCTTGTGCTTCCACCTGACCCAAATTGTGTTAACGGTGGTTCCAACACTCACTCAAAGCCCTACAAAACAAGTTTCTGTGTGTCTTGCGTATCGCTCGCAGATACACACTCGAGACTGAAGTTTGTGATTTCAAATGTACAAGCTACTGACAAAGATAACATCGCGCCGGATAAGTGCCTGACATGCCTCCATTTTCTTACCCAATGTAGCGTCTCCGATAATACGTGCTGCATCCTTAACCTCCCGACAACTTTCATCCAATCTTGTCATTGTTCGCACAATCGTGCCTTCCTGGATGTCACTCAAGCCCACCAGTTCCGCGAATGGCTATTTAGGCAACCAGCAAAGTATGTCAGTATAGCGTCCAGTATAGTGCATTGATGTCTGTAGACACATCCTCCTCATCTTGATCTTCAAAATGAGATAGATGCTGACCATTCCTTGCGCCCAGTGCCACACCAGCTCTACCATACCGAAATTTAACCCAGAATGACTGGAACGAGGCCCTTCAACATCGTCAACCTCAACTCTATGTCTTAAACAAACTTCCTCCACTCTCTCAGAGATCTTGGTGAGCTGTTGACATCCTTGTTCAAGGGCGGGTGTGAGCATCGGTTTATTATCAGTTTTGTCTTGGAACACCAGGGCGCTGAGAAGTGCGACTGTCTCTGATGGATCATAGTCCATGAACACGTTGTCCAAGATGAGCTCAGTCAAAATCAACTCGGAGGAAGAGTTAATCTAAGATACAAAGCCGTCCCAACATTGAGCCATAGAAAACAAGATGCTCAAGGGCTTGTCAACAGACTAGACTCACTTCACAAGCCACTCGACCCTTGAGGAGCACGGTCGAACGCTCATCGATAAACTTCAGTTCCTTCAGAACAGCAATGCGTGCTTCATAGTCGGGTAAAAGTTCTAGATTCTGATCGCTCGAAGCCATGCGTAATCTGCATTGAGACAGCACAGAGCTCAAACTCTATTTATGTTGCATGGAGTCATGTTTGGCGATCATACTCACGCGGCTAATCGGGTATTCAGCACCTGTTCATTGTACAAAGCTTCGTACTGGAGTTCCACATAGATCACGTCAATCACCAACTTACACACTTCATAGGCTGTGGGGTCTATTTGTCTCCAAGAAACTCACCGAATCTATGAACCCTTCCGTCTGTTCTATATCACCGAAAGCTATGAGACTAGCCAAAAGGGTATCCCGTTCGTGCAACAAATCTCTAAAATCTACGGAACGTAACTTTGTAGATTCCCATTCGATTTCCTGGATATCTTGAATGATATTTGTATCAGCCAGTTGATTCAGAAGTTGACTTTCCTTAAAGTTCTTCAGTGTATTCTCCATCTCTGACTTTCTATGATGATTCGCGATAGACTCTGCGTCTAGTTTTATCAAGTGTTTGGTGATCAGGGAGACGGACGACGTGGGTATCACGGCAAGCTCATAGGTAAGGTCTTCGGTCTGAGCATGAATTCGCGGTGGCCAGCGAGGTGGAACCGACTCAGAAGGTAAATCTGGAGAAGGCAAAATAACCTCAGGAAATGTTCAGCCATGAGTTTTGCTAGGTATAAGCCTTACCTTTTGTGCCTGCGCGGATTTCAGTGGGTACAAAGGCAAGAACAAGATAAGTTCGTGATCGATCGATACGGCCATCGGCAGATTTGTGGAATCCTGGAGCAAGCTTTAGGATCACCGCTGGATTATCTCGGAAATGCTAGAGGTCGTAGATCAGAAAGCTTCACCGGATGGGTTAGTCAATAGGGATATCAAGGGAAATCGACATACCCCATCCCGCAGTATCACAAGGCGGCCTGATTGGAAGGCACGAGAGCCGGAGGGATGACTCAAAATGCTTTCAATCATGCTTGCGTTCAGTGCTTCCAATCGTGTCATCAATCCAAGATATTCTTTGATGTTTTCATTCCTCTCTGGATCGTCCGATATGCCCAGTGCTCGCAGCTCTCGTTCACACTCTACAATCTTCTTCTGCTGATCAGGTAACAATCTCTGCTGAGCGTTTTCCGAGAAACTCCGTTTAATCATCTCTTCGACCCGAAGAGCTTCAACCCTCAAGAGGTTCAGAATCATGCTGATGTGTGAAGCATCATTTCAGCCTCGAGCATGGTCAAAAGCATCGTACGGATCGACTAACTTATATGTCAGTCGAAATTGAGACTGTAGCTTGGTAGGTTGACCCAGGAGCATTTTGTGCAATGTCGAGGTCTAAGGCCAAAAATCGACGATTTCAATAATTTTAGGCATTGCCTTACCTAGTGCCATATCAGAAATAGAAATAAACGCACATCCGGAGGCTGGTCTGTGCATACGATGATAACGACTCCAGTGCTATCCAATCCTCTACGACCGGCTCTTCCCGACATTTGGGTGTATTCACCAGGTAGCAATTCCCGAAAGGAGTGACCATCATGTTTCTTTATACCCGAGAAAACAACACTGCGTGCCGGCATATTCACACCCTAAATTCGACACCAAAACATTTAACTGGTGTCATCAATGATCCGTTTTGTTTCGGGGAAACCTTACCATTGCGAAAGTCTCAGTTGCGAATAGCACTTTGACCAATCCACGCGTGAACAAGATCTCGACCAACTGCAATAAAAAGTTCAATCAGTTTTGCGCATAACAAAACATAAGAGCCTTTCATAAACCAGACCTCTTTGACTATCGGGAGTAGCCCGCCATGATGTACACCAACCCCGCGGCTCAACATATCACGCATCCTCAATATTTGAGGCAGTTTTTTATCAGAATCTGTTGAAGATGGAAAAAGTAACCATCAACTTCACGTCGACCAAGGCGAATCTTGACCCATGTACATACCATTGAGCCTTTTCAAACTTCTTTCGATGATCACATGAATCTCGCTCTTTTCCTTTGCACTGCATAGGTCTGTATTGGGCATACTCGATGCATTATCTTCACATCTTCGCTTAGAAAATGTAAATGCCACAACTGGTAGCAGGTTCTGTTTCTTCAACAATCCTACCAGATGTACCCATAGATTTCTATCTTCTTGATTACCTCGTCCACTATTATGGCCGCCTCCTCCACGCCCACCTCCTCTAGCCATCAAGTTAGTATTTCCACGCGCTGAGGTATTTGAGCGACTCCCGCGAGACTGCGCGCCACCACGTTGACCACGGTTAGATGCCGCAGCGCCCATCCGGGTCAAAGGTAACATACCTGCAGCCTCTCGTTCTTTTACTTGAGCGCGTTTCAATGCATCTCCGGCATCCTTGTGTCTACATGAAGATTGGGTCAACATTGGTGGCTCATTATTGCGCACGCTTTCCTTCGAGTTGATATCAAGGTGGAATGGGTAAAAAGAAACCTACGAACCCTTGTCCCAAGAACTCCCCTTTAGCGTTCAAAATCTTGTACAAGTCTTTATTTGCGTACAAAAAGTGTTCCAGAGGAACAGGCCTTTTCGGAGTACTGATGACGTAGATATCTTTCTTCTTGGTTCGTCTGTGTGATGTTTCGAGTTGGGGAAAAATGGATTGACATCGAGAACCCAAAATATCACAAAGACTAGACTATTCTTACCCTACCCAATCTGCAAACTCTTTGGTGTTTGGTACAGTGGCTGACAGCAAAATGATGGTAACATGATCAGGGAGCATGATAATGACTTCCTCCCAAACCACACCCCGCTGATAAAAATAAGATTGTTCAGATGCCAGTACAATCAGCCTACGATGTGTTGAGCACGTACCTCCGAGTCATTGATATAATGTACTTCATCGAAGACAACAAACTCCACATCCCGTATCAGATCAGCTCCTTTGTAGAGCATACTTCTCAAAATTTCAGTGGTCATAATTAGACAGCTACCGTCTGGGTTGACCTGCACATCACCAGTTAAGATACCAACGGTGTCCGGATCAAACGTCTGCTTGAAGTCGCGAAATTTTTGATTAGACAAAGCTTTGATGGGTGACGTGTATATGCATCTGATTGATCAGAATCGGATGCAAGTATGTCCTGGTAAGCCATCTTTCCCAAGGATACTAGTTATATGTAGGCCCGCGCTTATCTCACCTAGTCATGTGTCGAGCTGCAAGCGCAATGGCGTACTCTGCCACCACAGTTTTTCCAGCTGAAGTGTGAGCAGCGATAAAGACTGAATCCCCCATCTCCAGGTGATAAACGGCTTCTTTTTGGAAAGTGTCGAGCTCAAAGGGATACTATACATGAAAGAACCCGATGAGCCAGATTGTCAAAAGCACACGTTCATCAAACTCGCAAGACTTGCCTCTTTCGCCATATCGGGTACCAGGTCCCTGAAGTTTACCAATTCTTGATTGACATCCACCACATGAGCCCAATCTCGCTTAGAGATGACGGGACGTTTGCGTTCAGCCGAGACCTTCACATTCGAAGCTAGGTCCACCCGCTGAGGTCATCGAACGGAGAGTCACACGTCAATAAGATACCGGAACACAATGACTCATGATCGACTGACACTATTGGGGAGTAGAGCTTCTACTTCTTCATCTATCTGCGCTGAAAACGATTTTGTCTCAGCATTATCTCGGTCTTCTTGCCGCACGGTACGCTTGAATTTTTCAGTGGGCACATAGATAGGCTCCACTTGACTGGGTGCCACATCAGCCGAATCTTCTGCTTCCGTTTCAGCATCCATTGCCGTATCGCTAAAGTCAAGTCCTCTAGTAAATCCAGGGGGGATAGTACGTATGCCACCTGTAGGAGATAGCAATTGAACGTCCAGCTCAAGGAGATATGAGATCAAAAAGCTTACCGCGGTTGGACTCGAAGCCTTTCTCAATACTCTCCACCAATTCGTCGGGTTCGACTTGGTTGCTCATTGGCTGCAGCTCAACTCCCACTTCCAAACCACCCGGTGTAAAAGGAAAATATCTGTTCGCAAGGTTTAAAGTCACATCGTGAATTTTCTCAGGTTGACGATAATGTCGCGTGCGCGATGTGATTTCACATTCACTTACCCCGACTTGCCCCTAACAAAGTCCTCGGTGTAGCTAGCAGGCTCTCGACTTAATGAGGAAGATGTCTTGGCGGTCATGGAAGGTCCGGAGGGCTTGGACAGCTTTCAAAAGGACCATCCGGTGTGTGTTGAATATATTGTACAATGAGGAAACATCTCTTATCAATTTCAAGATAAATACAAAGAGCACATAGTTCATCCACATACGGCGTCTTCATCTCTTATGATCAAATAGATCCACACATACAGGTGTTTTGAATCTAGCCACTAACCTCACGATAGCCAACCACTTTTCCCTCAAGTCCAGCAGTGACGAATTCAAGACTGGTAGACATTTGACCTGGCTGACTACGCAGTAGCTCGCCGATGGATTGGTGTTGTAGTAAGCCTAAAATCGGGTCCCCTTCCCAATGAGTAACGCGACTCGAGGTCCATAGTTTGGGTACCGCCGGACCAGGTTTGAGGAGTTTGGAGTTGAGGAAATCCTTGAATTCAGTGGCATTGATCGGCCGTCGTGGTGGTTGGGCTTCGAGAGTCGGATCTGATTCTGGCGCATCGGCAAGGCCTTCGGTCGCCCACAGCTCGTCTTCGGTGGCTAATGGGACCATTGATATGATTTAGCGTCTTGATTCAAAACAGAAAAGGTTTGAAGGGTATTGAAGATTTCTCAATATACGTTCAGCTCCAGCATCTCTTTGAAAAATAGAAACGGTCGATGGTCCTCTTGCTTGCAGTGTGCGAGAACCTTGCTTCACGAACCAATGACAGCATCTCGACTGTTACATGGAAATTATCTGTGAATCTCTGGGATCGTGCTGAGTGTCAGTCGAGTGTCAGCGATGATTGAGTCACTGACTGTGACACCCTCGCAAAACATGATACATCTGGCAATGGCATTCGAACTTGTAACGGGGTATAACTTTAACCCACGTTATGTATTCTAACCCTTAAATCTAGGGTTGGGATGTAAGATATAAAATACGAAGATAAGAGCTGACTTCTCCTGGAAGTATGCGTTTAGGTGTTTCACGGGTAATTGTTTAAGAGTAACGGTGAAAGGGAAACGGGCTTGTTTGTAAGGAGTAATCAAGGTACACCACGGGGGGATCCTGGGTCAGAAGTTGGTCCCAACCAGTCTGAAATCCGTCAGGTCGGTTTCCGACCCAAGACTCGCCCCTGGCCAGACTGCAGGCCACCCTGGGCTGGCCTTCACGGGCCGCCCCTGTTTAATCCCAGAGCAGCCAGCAGCGGGACTTGTAGGCGCGTCCTGCGGGCCTATAGACCGCCTGCTTGGTCCTCGCATGGTCAGCGCGAAATCGCGTGGCATCTTTCCAAAACTGATTGCTGAGCCAAGTAAGCGTGAGCAGAGACTTACTTTGCTTGCTGAGCTCATCCTCTGAATCAGTCTGTGTGGATGACGGGACAGATGCAACCAAACACCACCACGTTACATACGGATCCTGAAAGGGCAACAACTCGTGGCCTTGGCGTGTTGACAGTGGCTCACTCACGAGTCACTGTCTGGTTTCCAAAAATTCTGGAGGGAACACTCATCGGCCTGTGCAATTTCACTGATTGCCAAAAGGTGAAATACCATGCAGCCTCTGATTGGATGTCGCGTGCCAAAGGTTGGAGGGCACACAACGTCCAATCAGAGGCTGCATGGTGGCCTCAACCCCTGCGTACGAACTTTTCTTGTGTTGCGTCCTCACCCCTGCGTCTTTTTTGTCTCTCGCGTGAGCTCTTCAGTTAAAATCCTGGTCCTTTGGTTTCTTGTGGAATCATCGTGACTTACAACTCTCAGTTTTGTGTATTTAGCTTGACAACGCAAGTGTGACCACTTGCGACGTCGTTTCACTGCGTAAGTCTGAACTCTCCTTACCTGCTTCAATTTTGTCCTTCAACCAGCTAATCAGTCTTGGAAGTTGAACTGACAGCTTTTATAGGCTCGTATACAATGAGGATTGTGGGAACTTTAATGGCAAAGGCCACATTACCAAGCTCGATCCATGATTGACGTTTGATTTGCCACCCGAAGAGATATAAAGATCAAGAATCGAGATGGAGAGGATTGTTGGGTCAAATCGGTTCATTTCATTCGTTGAGTTTTATCCCTTTGGATTCATTTCAATCCAAAGATTCACTCTGATTCAATTCTGATTTGAGAATTTTTTAGATTTATTCATGTGACTGCTAGACCTCATCCTGGTCAAATCCAAGTAGCAGAAACAATTGATAGATTATTGAAATCTAGTCAATTAGCGATCATACTGATCATGAAGAAAAAGATGTTAGTGCTGAGATCTCTAAACAAACTTTAAGACAATATTGTTATCCTTTGAGAACCGCACCTCAAGTAAGTGAATCTATTATTACAACTTTCAATGAAGCCTTTTCGATCTCTTGGAATTAATTGTCTTTGGGTTTTTTTAGTGGATCGGTCCTTGATTAGAAGATTTGATAGTTGCTCCTGCTACTATCAGTCGTGAATTAAACTCGACTACAGATAATCGTATGTGACCAATCAAATCATCAGAATCAAATTCCCCATCCAACTTAAACTAATCTATACCTTTTTGTTTTCCAAATCATTAGCTTTGATTGATGTAGAGAATGGAATCATTTAGGGGATACAAAGTTGAATCCGGGCACGTGCCCGGGCATGTGCCCGGAAGTCCAGATTCCCGGAGACCAGCTGAAATCTGGGCAAATTTTTTTTCCCAGCTTGACGCCCAGTTCCCCACCCAGTTTTCCACCCAGAAACTGATCACCCTTTTCCCATCCCATCAAGCTCCGCAAATAAACATAAGGTTTCATTTCATTTTCATCCATGTCTTCTTCCCAAGATTTACATTCGGATCACATCATTTCACCTGATCCATCTTCCGAACCTGATCCAAATCCTACCCAACTACAACTAGACCCTTCAACTCTCAGTCAAGTGCTCACTGGAGCGATTCAACTGGCACAATCAGCTGGTTCAAGTGTTTCCAATAGAAATAAATCGACAAAGGCAAAGATGCCTCGTGAGTCAAAGGCATCTCAAGCAAAACCTTCCTCGCCTCGTAAATCAAAACCTCGTCAACAAAAATCTAAGAAGTCCAAAAACTCAAAGACCATCAATGAAAGCTCTCAAGAAGACGATGAGAAAGGGAACAAGACTACTGTTCAATGGGAACACGATCACAATGCGGATGGGAAAACTTCAATGTACTTATTGCTCAATTGGCTTACGGATGAAGACAATTTCAGTAGATTCAAAGATAACAAATCGGAAAAGAGAGCTGTGGCTGAGGAGATTGAACGTTACTTGATTGAGAATGGAATTACATGGCGAGATGCAAACTCTATCCGAAAAAAGGTAAGTTCTTATGTGATGTTGATTGATCATAGCGTTCATTGATTCTGTTTCTCAATATAAAACTTGGCTTTGGTTGACAGATTGGCCGATTGGAGGAAGCTTGGCGGAAGGCTGACGGAGAGTGTAACCGGACTGGTGCGGGTAGTTGGAAGACAGCGCAGGAAGTTAAGGCTGCTAAGGGATGGGGTGATGAAGACGATGAATGGCTGAAGTTAGAGAAGGTAGCCATGGGTAAGCATTCGCAGTTGATCACAGTTCCTTTGGTTCGATTTCTGATTTGTCTTCTCCAATTCTTTCAGCGCCTATCTTGAAGTTGTGCAAATATTACTTTGAACTTGAGCCGGTATTTGGAACTCGGCATGCTAATGTTAGACTGGCTGCTACCCGCAGTTTACCAGCTACTTCTCGAAATGTTGAAAGCAAGGATGACGGTCAAATCCAACGTGATGCGAGGGAACACTCTATCAATTCTAATTTAGCTTATGAGATGGACCAAAACGGCTCGAAACGCACTCAATTGGAGGAAGGGATGAACGGATCCTTAGTTAATGATTCACACTTACCTAATGAGGATTCAGACGCTCAATCCGATGACATTACTATGGAGGAGATGAGGAGAGTTATGAACGACAACTTTGATGAAACTCCTGGAATTAGTGATACTTACACACCAATTCGAGCTTTTCAATCTTCTCAAACTCGGTCTCAACCTCAACTATCTTCCAGTTCCCTCAAACGCACTTCTTCAAAACATTCTTTGGAATCAGCAAGCCAATCGACCATGAGCAAACGAGCACGCCAATCTGGTTCAGCCTCTTCAATTCAAGGCCTTTTCGAAGGACGAAATTATGGATCATCCTCCGCCGGTGCAGATACTTTCACCTCCACAATTGAGCGTGAGGCGGTTATCAACCATGGAAAAAATATGGATCGTTTGACTCAACTCGCTGTCAATATGAATACTGCTATGTTTGGACAACCTACATCACAACCGGTCTTAAGTGAAGAACAAATCCAAAAGAAATCCTCAATTGAAATTGAATTGGCTGATGTCAAATTGAGTAGTGAACGATTCGACTTAGATTCTCGAAAGGAGAAGCACTTACTTGAAATCCAGCAAATGAAGGCTGAGATGGAACATCAACAAGTATCGAGAAATGCTCAACTCATCAGTACATTAATGCGAGACCATAATATGAATATACATGATGCTATGCTTGCAGCTCAGCAAGCGCAAGCAATGGTCCAATCAAGTTCAAGTGCGACTTAATGGAGGCTCCAGGTTAGTGTGAATTTTCTATATACTTGAATTATAATATGTATTGATATATCGTTCAACTTCTGACATACTATATGATGTTGATAAATCCATCAGGTCCCCAAAGATTTAACAAGGGTATATTAAATTTAAAGAAAGTCTATCTGATTAGTGAAATAGTCATAAAATACGTATAAAATCACTTGTAGTTCAAATTTATATTTAAATGAAATTGGTACTCTAAATGAAATTGTATTTACAATTTACCAACAAGTTGCTTTTCAAATACACGTTGACCTTGAAATTTATATTTAAATGAATTTGTTACTATTTGATTCACCCACTCGAAGTATTACCAAAGATCGAGTTCACTTGTATCCAGTCATCATATCACATGATGATTTCATCTCGAAAATTTTTGTCAAAGTCAAAATTTTTCAAGACAAAAAGGTTTTAATTGCAATTTCTGAAACTATCATATTTACATAAATGGTTAACATCAAAAGAAATTCAATTTAATCATTATTCCTTGTTTCCAAAAATTCCGCAAACAATTGATCCCTTCTACTCGTGTTGCGACCAGTCCTCAAAATAGCTTCTTCATCTTCAAACGCAGGAGCATTGCGAGGGGCTTGTCGTGGTCTTGTTTCTGGTGAAAGACCAGCACTTATGTTTCCCAAAACTCCAGACCACGAATCTTTGATTGAAAGGAGAAAGTTATGTAATATCAAACATGCTTCAATCCACTGATTAGCGCGTAAGGCCGATAGAGCATTGCTGATAACCAATCGAAGTTCTTTCAATGATTGGAAACGTCCTTTGACCATTCCATTACAATGCTCGATTATAACTCGTATTGCACTGATTGCCTTATTGAAAGCGTCTTCGTCTGACCGCAAGCTGTGACCTCGACACCGCCTGAGACAAGGTATCACAACATCAGAGACCGTGTAACCAGAGTCTGCCAAAAGATATTCTCCATCATCGAAAAAGTCATCGGGTTCTTCAAAGAGCTATATTTATCAAAGATCATTGATACATCAGTATGTATACGATAGATATATCACAGACATTACTCACCTGTGAAGACCTGAAGACCCGTTGGTCATGTACACTACCACACCAGCCCAACTCATAATAAATCACCCGACGATGAATGTCGCATACAAGCATGATGTTGTAAGCATAAAAATTCTTCCGGGTCCAATAGTCTTCGGGATTTTCACGAGGTGCAGCAGCCAGCGGAATTAGAGTGCCATCTACGAATCCTACACAACCTTTGAAGAATGAAATTGAGCTAATTTCTTCTTTCAAAGCCGAACGTTCTTGAGGCGAAGGCCAGCGCATGTATTTTGATTTCAAATCGAGTACAGCTAAGATGAATCGAGTGGTCCAATTTTGGACACTCCCTTCTGTGAACACAGGTTGAATCAAATTCATACTCTTGAAAACGATGTCTGAAAGAGAAAAATACCTGAGCAATTGAACATCCTCGCCAGGTGGAAATGGTCACCACCATTACCACCGGTTCCTAAGTTCGCCAGGGCAACCAACGCCTGCCACCAAACGGGTGCTTGCTTCATGTGGGAGTTGTTATGGAAGATCGGATGGTCCTCGATCAAATCAATCAGAATGTTGAAAGCTCTCTTCGACATTCGTGCCTAAAAAGCATCCTGACTAAGTATGACAGCAATTAAAAGGCAATTCTTTAAAACTGACTCACTAGCTTGATGAATCCATCACCTCCTTCTATTAGCACTTGGGAAAACCAAGCGTTTTGCAATTCCTTGCGTCCACGAGAGATCCTGTTTAAAAAGAACCGTTTATGATTTAAGATTGTGAGGGCTTCGTCCAGAATTGCAAGCTCTGAAGTGGCCTTTCTGCGAAGTTGATATCCCAAGCGAAGGAGGTTGTAGCTGTGATCCAAGGCTGGTAGTAACTCAATAAGAGCTACAAGATGCGTGAGAGCCGCCTTCCTTCGATCATCCTCGGTGATAGCTTCGCGAAAGGTTTTCAAAGTGTGAATCATTCGGAAAAGAAACTGGAACCCAGCAATATCGAGGTCTAAGGTTGCGAAGAAGGGTACTTTGTTGTGAGCAAGCGGTTTTCTTGAGTGTCGGGCTACTTGAATGGATCTTCTGAGGTCATGTTTTCGAGTAAAACGAGGCATCAGATTGAAATGTAGCCTTGCGAGTTTGGATGATGAAATGGGGGAGCTGCTGAACGTTCGACGTCTGGCTAACTTGCTTGAGGAGCCTGGATATCTGGCTTACAAAGGGTTCAAAGTTGGAGGGCTGCCCGGGCATGTGCCTGGAAGTCCAGAATCGAGATTTACAGCCAAAAATGGGATCTGGACTTCCGGGCACATGCCCGGGCACGTGCCCGGATTCAACTTTGTATCCCCTAATTCATCACGGTGCTTATCTTTTCTGTTCTTTTTCTCTTTTTTTTTGTTTGGATCTCCAATTGTTGTTCTTGGTGTGACATCTAAATTACACAAATCAATCAAACTTGAAATCATCCATATAAAATAGTTTCCATGTTTTTCAACCTGTTTCAACTGATTCCTGTTGAATCATCTGTTATCATTCAATAAGCTATTCTTCCAATCTGCCACTATTGACCATGCCACCGCCTATTGATGCACTGGGCTTTGGGCTATGCCCATTTCTTGATTCCGAGCTGCTCGTGCCCCGCTTGATCTACCCAAACAGCCCAGATTGACTGAACGCGACCAAATTGGTGGCCTGCGGATAGTCAAATTGGCCTGCAGGCCACCAGCGGCTCGCGCACGCCTACACTTTTGGCGAAGCAAAGGCGCCTTTACGATGAGCTGTCAGGCAACTTACAGTTCGACACTTGGTCGTCGCCAAACTGACTACCTGCTGACGGGCAGTCACTCCGCACAGAGCGACCGTCTGGTGGTGGCCGGCGAGGATGACCTTTTGGCGGTCAGGACGCCCCCGTGGTGTATTTCATGCAGACTTTTACTTATGTCCTATGTTCTTTATGTTACGTAGCTAAGTAGCTGTACCGTACCTATTCGTACCCTGCTACAAACTTGAGCTCAGCCGTACGAAGAATCCCATTCTCGACATTCTGCGATGAGCACTTCTAATACATTACCATCCCCATCAACTCATGGACGTTGTGCTGGTATCAGACAAGATTTAGCAAACTGCATCCTCAAATCCGATTGCGTACTTCAACCACCTTATCGAACACCGAAAGATTGTCTTCAAAATCATATGTCGGAATTACCTGAAGAGTGTTTACACCTTCGCTACGCATTCTTCGATTGCAAAAGGGGTCTTGTAAGCCCCTCTCAAGTACTTGATGTATATTTCTGTGTTGTTCATTTGATCGTCCACTAACAGTCGTCGTCAACTATATCCATTGGACCTCCACCGATTGATCCCGCTTGCAATTCAAACCCATGGCGCGCCAACCGTGGTGTTGACTATAAAAGCTCGACATGCGAAAGCGCTTCAGAGGCTTAGATCCAACCCAGAAGACGGGTATGTTTTCCATCACGGGGGTTTTGACTTTCTGCGCGAAGAATGGCAAGATTGACCACAAGCCTCTCTGCTCCATACTTAAACAGAACAACCTCTCGATCCTGCCAAAACAGGTACCAGTGATTGATTACTTCGACACTACCACCAGACTGCGAGAACAGGCATCCTCGACGCAAGACTCCTTTGCATACACCAAGAACAAACTTCAAATTCATGCGTTTTGGGTGTCTCCCCAACAAACGGGTAGACAAAGTAGACAGTTACGCGGCATGGAGTTCTCGCCATTCTTTCTTGGTAGATAGGACTCGAGAGCTTCTGGAGCACGAATTCTAAGCCCTGATGATTGCGTGTTCAGATCTGACAGCTGGAATGGATCCCTGGATGTAGCATATACATATTTTTAATAAGTCTGAACACCAGCTTTTATGTGTTGGCTACTTTGTTTCCTGTATGTAGGACAAGCCCTTGATATATATTCCGACCAAATCACTGAATGGCTTGGGTGATGATCATAAACTGGGAAATGGATGAATGCAACCTCAGACTAGCTCATTGGACAATGTTATCAAGGGTGATCTTTGTCTTTTGTGTACTGGCTTGAGAAGCTTGAATGATCATTTCAGTTGAAATGATGAAGTTTGCATAGCAAGTATTGACGTACTGGTGTCTGCAAGTTCTGGAGTCGAGACCTTGCAAAGCTTGTCGTATAATTCTGGTACATTCATGTATAAACTTTTGAGAAGCCCAAATATTCGCACTTGAACCTTAATTAATTAAACTTTGTAACACATGAATCCCCCTTCAACCAGCTATATAACTCATGGATCAGTGATTAATTTAAGAGGTTATCATCAAAACACTTTGTACTATCCAGATTGTGAAGATAGTCAAACAGTAAACGTGAATTTAAACAAACAAAAAAACAAATCTTGACACAAGAGAAATATAATCAAATGAGAGTTTCAAATCCATAATCCCAAAAGTGTAAAAATGTAAAATCAAAGCTTGATTTGTGTTTATCTTCCAAAAATCCAAACATAGGCATCTTATATGTCCCCAAACATCACCAAAATCTCTGTGGACTCAAACATTCCATCAAAATCTTGATCAGAAGAAATATATCACCAGGAAAAAAAGATATGAAATGATTCAGATTTTAATATATTTCACGTGATCTAAAAAAATGAGCTGCACACGAAAAAAAGAAAGAGTAAAAGCAAAACCCTCAAAACCTTAAGTTATTAACACAGGCACAACAAAACACAAAGCCAATCAGACCAAAACCAAATAATGAAAAATCCATGATTCTTTAGAAAAGTTAAAGAAACCAAATATCACAAGTTTGAGTTTGAAACCACGAAAGAAAAATCATGTATGTGTGAAATCAAAAAATTCAAAAAGTTTCAGAAAAATAAAATAAAGTACCCCTTTATAACTTGATAAAGATCAAAAGATGGAAAAACAAACAAAATTAAAATCAGAATTTCCCGACAAAGGAAAGATTATTGTTTTAAACTTATGCCTCATCAAAAGACATATCAATTAAATTTAATGTTTTCTCTTTAGGAAGTATAGCACTTTGATCAACCGTTGTATCACCTTCATATTCAATTTCATCTCCTTTTTGATGATGAGTTCCTTGTGATTCTTGTCTATGCATCAAGTCTTCTAAAAGTTCGTATTTCTGTCTCATTTCTGATGCTTCTTCTTCTGCCATCGTGGCCATATGTTGATATTGTTCCAATTTCTTTTGTAATTCGGCTGTTTTTGCATTATGAGCTTCATGTAATTCGGTAAGTTTACGTTCTGTAATAGCACTCGTGCCAGTAGCCGTTCCACCATTAGAAGCTCTTAATTGTTTTACCTCTGCTTCAACTGCTTGTCGTTTACTTATTTCTCGTTGAATCTCTTCAGTAAACTCATTAATCATCGATTGTTGCATTTCAATTCGGGTAGCTTCTCCTTGACTTGCTTCTTCCATCGCTGCCAACTCTTTTTGCAATTTTGTCTTTTCCTCGATATGTTGCTTCACTTCAGCTTCATGTCGTTCACGGAAATGTTCAAACTTAGTGGTTAGATCCTCAGTAGTAGCTTGAAATACTGAACGAGTTTGTTCTCCTTCTTCTCGTGCATTTTGAAGGGCTTCTCGAAGTGAGGAGATTTCTTGTGAATCACTTGTTTGAGCCTTTGCCTCCGATTCCACATGTTTCAATGTGGCTCGAGTCTTCTCAAGTTCCCCAGTCAATTGATCAATAGTGGTCAACTGGTCGGTGTTAGTGGATCGGGTAGCGTTGAGATCCGATTGAATAGCGTTCAGCTCGAGTTTGACTTGCATTAGTTCAGATTCAATCTTGACTCGTTCGGATGCAAAATCAGATGTCAAGGCGGCTTTGGTAGCTTCCAATTCAGCCGCGTGAGATGATAAGAGCTGGATAACATAAAATACGAGGCAGTGAGCAAAGGTGTTGTGAATACGATGAACATCAATTGACAAATCTTATATTGAATGATACGATTGTTATCGTGACTTACTTGCTCAGTTGTGTCTTGAGAACTTTGACGAAAACCTCTCAGCTGTTCGATATGACCGCTGTCTAACTCCTCTCGGGCTCGGTTGAACTCTTCTTTAAGTTTGCTCATATGTTCAGCTTTCAAGGCTTCCATTTGCTCCAGAAGATCCTTCTCTTGTTCCTGTATCAAAATCAATAGGCAACTGATATTAGCACTTCACTTCAACTGTCGATAAACAAGAACAGCACGCACCGTCTTTTCTTGGCGTAAGCTTGCTAAAGCTGCTTGCAATTCATCACGCTCAGTCTGGAGTGCAGAATGGGCGTTGCGAACTTCAGAAAGCTCATTCTTCAGAGCGAGAATGGCTTGCTCGAGCTCTTCACGCAGAGCGCTCAGCTTGACTTGATGAGCTTCCTCGGCAGTCGAGCGGGTTTCTTCGGTAGCCTTCTCAAGCGCCACGGTATGCTTTTCTTCGAGTTCCTTGACGATAGCATCTCGATCACTTTCCCAAGCTTGTAATTTCTCACGAGTTGAGGCAAGTTCAGATTCCAAGCTCTCTCGAAGTTCCTTCAAAGCAGATTCGTGTTCACCAGTCAAAGATTGAACACGAGCGGAATGTGTGGATTCAAGTTCCTCTAATGCTTGAGTGTGCGATGCGCCAGATTCGTTGCTAGCTTTGGCAAGCTCTTGAGCAAGGTCGTTGGCATATTTGGCGGCTGCTTCTTCTTCAACCTGTTTCGCTCGCGTCTCGGCCGCTTCAAGTCGCGATGCAACATCATGATTCCCAGAGTCAAGCTCTTCCCGCAAGGCGCCAAGCTTCTCCTGGAGTTGTTGAGCGTGTTGTTCAGAGAGTTCGGCAAGCGCAGCAGCGTGTTTCTCCTCAGCTTTGGCGATCTCTTCCTTCAGGCTATCCACCGTCTGTTGTAGTTCGGAAACCTGCGTAGCAGTTTCTGAATGTTGGCGAATTGACTGTGCGTGTTCCTCTTTTTGAGCTTCTACAGCTTTGGTGAGTTCGTCAACACGAGCTTGAGCAGTTTCCAAATCAGCTTTAGAAGCCGCAAGTTCGGCCGAGTGATCATCATTCGATCCCGATTGATCCTTGGCCTCTGCGAGTTGAGCCTCTAGGGCCTGTATTTCCGCTTTCAATTGATCATGGGCGGCTGCAGCCGTCTTGGCATCGGCTTCCAATTGTCCTTCAACGGTCGTCAAGAGTTTCGATTTTTCAGCCAAAGATATTTCGGCTTGCAAGAGCTGGATCAAAACCAATCCTGATCAGATTGGAAAAACGCATACACGCAAGTCAAAACATCTAACCTTAGCTTCCAATTCCGAAATTGCGGCTGCGTGGGCGCCATTGGTAGCGACGGCCCTGGTCCCCGTCACACCGGGTGCATGAGAAAGTCGTTTTACGGCTGAGCTGGAGCCCGCGGTAGTAGATTTTGCGGCTGCTCCCGAAGCTGTAGCAGTGGTTGGTCTCTTGGCAGTCGCGGTGGTACCATTGCTGGCAGCTGTCTTGATAGGGGCTCTGGTGACTGAAGGAGCAGCGCTAGTTCTGCGAGTAGGAGCTGCAGGGGCAGGCGGTGATTTGATCTGCGTAGAAGTTGAAGCATTCCTGTCATGGGTTGATGCCTTATTTGCAACCTCAGAATTGATTGTTCGGGTGGCACTCGAAATCCGTGGATTGGGTTTGTTACTCTGAACGGCTGACGATACCGTAGTTGAGGGTTTCATGCCGGCGGATGTCGATTTGGCAAGTGACGCATTGGCAACGCTTGATGTGGTGGTCGTGGCGGGCGCTTTCGGACCGACGACTAGAGAGTTTCGCTTGCTAGTGACTGCAGCGGGTCCCACAGTAGGCCTGGCAGTTCTGGCGGCGGTGGGTGACTTGACAGTAGCTGGAGCAGCAGGCACGGCAGGTTTTTTCAAAGGCGCGGCGGTCGTTTTTGACAATGGTTTCTTGTCGCCCGTGTGCTTCTCTTCGATCAGTCATCGATGGTCCAAAAATTGGCTCAGTCATTTGTCCTCTCGTAATAGGGCATCAAGAGAAGACTAACCGAAGGCAGCAATGGCAGCAGCGATTCCAGGCTTTGTGATCGGCATGACCTTGGTCGGTGTCGTAGGGTTTTCAGCAGGCTTTACTTCTAGATCGGTGATTTTTTCAATCTCCTGGGTAGGCGTCTCGAGAGGTTGGTTTTCGTCATGTTCGGATGGGGATTGGTTACCGCCAACCATACCTGAAGGTACGCTTTCGACTGAGGCGACCACTTCTTCAGACATGATTTACACAGAACTATAAGAGCTGATGGACCCTAGAAGTTAACAGTTTCGACCAAAGAGGAGATGTGAAGAAAACAGAGGAAAGAAGGTGAATTGACTTGAGACTGGATGTGATAAATTTGTCTGAAAGGGAAGAGAAAGTAAAGTAGAGCTTTTTGTGGTTCCAATTTGATTTGATTTGATGATCTATAGGGAAGTCTTCATAAGTTAAATCCCGAGTTGACCTTTGTGAGTGATGAAAGTGATGATGATGATGTCAAGGAACTATCAAGTGGTTTCGTTGAACAAGGTAAACCCCCGTTTGGACTCAGTAGCTGATACCCGCTTAAACCCATACTCGTCATCTTCATTCAATCTACATATCAAATTCCAAATCATCTCAAGGCCGCGCGTGAGAGAAGAGGATCACGATGGTTCACCCATCCGAGGAAGTCAAAAAGGTGGAACTTGAAAGAGGAACTGTGCTTTAACCTTGAAAATTTTGATTTCTTAATTTCCCTGCTTTCAAGACATGCAGCTTGAAAGGTCATCTTATATTCTGGGTCCAGTAGCTTTGATAGCTGAGCAATTTAAAGGAAATACAATCTTTCCTCAAAGTCTGGAATGACTCTACCGTAACATCAGAGAATTAGGATGGAAGAAAATTACTTTATATATATCTCATAAGTTGCATAAATATGGGCCAAAATATAAATGATGTAAAAATCATTTTTCAACGGAAACTTGTGGAAATGTGACTGAGGATTGAAAGGTACGGGACTTACGATGTGATGAAGCAATCTAAACTAAGGCATGGCTCAATTGCATCTTTAGATAAAATGATCATGTTTTCTACTGATATCCTTGCTTTCATTGATATTTATAGGCGCACAATCTCTTTGATTATACTGATATACCTGGTGGAATCTTGGCAAAAGAAGACCCACTGGACTCATTCACAAAGTCGAAATTGAAGGCCCTTTTACGACTAACAATGACTGAAGATATGATTGCATAGCGTGGATTATGTGATCAATTGCATGCCTCTACCCTTACATCATGGGGGGTGTCTTTCTGGTAGTATATTTTATCGAAGGGCCATTGTGAGGCCACTTATTGCTCGCTCTATAGTCTTAGGTTTGTTTGGGATCTACTTATAGTCGAAATTTTTGGTTCAATTTTGACCCCTGATAAGATATGACGATCATACATAGGTAGGCATATGTGGCGACGAGGTTCATTTGATATTTTGTATATCAGGAGTCATTCAAGTGATTAAAAAATTATATGATAATCAAAATTTGCTAGTTATCAAAGGCAGATACATACAAGACTTGAGTATATGTTTCTATTCCAAAAGATTGGAATGAGTTATACAAGTTAAAATTCTGAATTTGTCCGAAGAAGATGAGAAGATGAAAAAATTAAGATGATAATATTTTTTTGATTGGGTTGATCACATATTTAGACAAACGTTTAAGATACACACAGCTGCCCACTCATAAATGGTGAAAGCTTTTTTTTATTGTGGTTAACCTTTAAGTGGTTTTGAGGTGCATATATGCGACTTTGTCTATTCAGCTTTCTGTGAAGCCTGGGGTGCCATATAGCAATAATCTTTGGGTATACTTGGGTCTGGATTAAGAAAATAACTAAAGATTGGCAAAAAGCATGAGGTCAGTCAGTATGCAGATGTGGAGATTGAGAAACAGGATGGGGTTGAATTGGTCTTGAGTGTCAATATGCAAGGATCACTGACGTAGGAAAGTGGACTTGGTAGCCCGCACCACCTTGGAAAAAGATTGCCAATATTAGAATGACGATCTGTGCTCCACCATCTAAAGCAGCTGAGCAAACGTAATTATACTTCTTGAACCTGTTTTAAAAGATTGAGATTTGATTGGTGTTTGTTTTCATCATACATACAAAGAATTATGCGGATTCGAGTACTTACCATTCAGGTAGATATCGTCGTGCGTAAAATTGTGACATCAGTCCAATGATTATATTTACAAATCTACCGGCAGTAGCACCTAGAAGTGTATGAAATTCACGGGAAAGTAAAGGTGATAAGATATCATGGTAAAGTAACGGCATCATGAGAAGATATTCGTACCTGAGTATCCAGAAGAGATGGACCCAGTAACCAATGGTACGTTGATCAAGTTTAGTTTCAGTCGTGGCCAGTATTTATGCGCCATGAATATGGGTATTGGCAAAAAGAGTCCAACACCAAGGGCAGCCGGGATTGCGACCTGTAGAATTTATGGATGATACATGGTCAGAATCTCGTAAGACACTATGATGAAGAATTCGAGACTTACGTAACGTTGATTGGCCATGAACAACTTGGTAGAGAAGGCCCCCCAGCTGGAACAAATCAAAACATGGTGTCAATATTGCAAGGACGAAAAGGCAGACGTAGGTGAAGGATAGGAGATTAGAAAATTGATCTCACCTGACTGCGTGTGATTCAAACGCAGCAATCGCAAATCCTGAAAAGACACCATTACCATTTGGTAGAAGCAACACTTCACGTTGACTCCCAATTAAGGCTTTCATCATAGCGTAATTCACGAGAGCCCCGACCAAAGTCCCAATCAACTGAGATATGACTACCATACTCTGCGAGATGTGCATATACTGGCCTGTAGGTGTGAAATATGAGGTTCAGATGTGATCCTTTGATAGGCTAGTGAAATAGGATATTACGTACCTAGTTTGAGATCTTTGATCATATTCATAGATTGGGCTACGGTGGAGGCTCCGAAAGTTGTGAAATACATATTCCCATATGCATTTCCAGGGAACATCAACCCCCCCAACATTTGTACCACACCGTTCATATTCAGATGAAAGCCTGTGATAGCTGTCAGGAAACCAACAGCCAAGCTTTGGTGCCCGAGAGGGTACGACAAGAAAAATCATGTGGGCACTTGAGCGCGCTTAGGTATACTAATACAATACTTTCACTCACGTAAGAAGACCAGAGATAGCAATCGCCACCAAAAGGCCAAGAGGAGATAGGCCCGATTTGTCAAGAGCGGATGCCCCTAGCGCCATGCCGATAGATATCAAGCTGATCAAACAGAAACCCCTATTTGAAGATGCTCATGATTAGCGAGTCGCAAGATTCGTGCTTGTGATGCCGAAGGATAACTCACCACACCGGAAAATCCCGGTATTTTTGACACACGATTCTGTGAGGGTCTATGCCTTCGGCGTTGCCTTTTCTTTTGAATAATTGCAAGATGATTTTATAGTTGTACAATAACACGTGAGTGATCGCCGATGCAGCCGCCAAAGATGCAAACACTTGAGCGATCACGTATGTCGAAGTGAAAGAGGGTAGACCGATTTGCGTGATGGCGTCTTCATTAGGGGTTCCGTCACCATTGATGACTTTTTTGATAGGATACGGCGTTCCCTGAGCGGTGAGCAAAGAGACAGACAAAAATGGGAAATTTTGGGCCACTCCAGCATCTATAACACAAAAGAGCAAAGTTCTTTCGTAAATAAAATTCGCTTTGAAACCTCCATGAAAGTGAGGAAGGTATGGTTAGCAGAGAAAGGAACTCACCAAACCAAGACTGGCTATAAACCAAGGATAATATGAACAATGAAAAGAATACACCAACAATATGGTGAAACTATGCAAGGCATATGGTCAGACCCGGTCACTTGATATCGAGGTTCAAGACCGAAAACTTACTTGAGCGCTCAGGGGCGTAAAAAAGGGACCGTGTGCTCCTATCAATGCCCAGTCACCAGAAATATTCAGAAATCCCAGCCCTTCAAATGGTTTTGCTCCCCCGAAAAGATTTGTTATCAAGGGATTCGGAGGAAGGGTAAGGCAAAAGAAACTGATTGCTTGGAATGCTGGAGCTATGTAGGTAGGAAAAATCTCGTCTAAAATAGAATACACGGTATTAGCAGGTCGAATTCTAATGGAATCGGGCTAGTGTGGTGGATGATTTCTTTAATCGATGAAAAGTGCTTACAAAATCCCATGCTGAAGAAAGCCTTCTTGAAAAACGACAGCTGATCCTTTGTGTGTTGACCTTCGCCGTGAAGTGAGTGGAACAGAGCAACAGATGGTAATACGTCTCTATAAAAGTTGTCTCGTGAGACAAGAATTCAGCCTATGATTTTTCCAAAATAGGTGTGGACAGGCTAAGAAAGTTGCTCACGGGTAAACAACTTGCGCAGGATAAACAAGAATAGGCTGTAATAATCTGTTCAGAAGAGGATTGTATTTTCAGAGTCACATCGGTATAAATCATGAATGAAGTTACTCACCCTGCCCAGCCGTATCCTATCATCTGTGAGCTCAGAAGTACAAGGAGAGAGACTCCAAGACTTGAGACTTGATCGAAATATAGATCTTTGGCTGCCAACATCTAAAATCCAGGTTCAAAAACGTGGGTGAAGGAATTATTGATCTCAGCTGTTCTATCTTGCAAGATAGATCACGGAGCTAGAGACGTGTTGAAACCAACCTCGATGGCGAAGGCACCAACACTCGCCGAAGTAGACATAATGGAAGCGAATGTGGTTTCTTTCTGTTTATTCAAGGAACGCATGAGCTCTCGATTTTTACCAAAAGCAGATTGAAAACTTACAATGCTGAATGGACCTGGGTTCCACCATTTGGGTCCGGGTATTAGGGCCAGTCCCCTTCCCAAAAGCATCGATGTAATTTGTAGAAAAAGAGGTTGCAGACGAAGGTGAACCGGCTTGAACATGAATAACTATTCGACGCCAAAATTAGATCCTAGCTTCCCTCTCAGTAATTTTATCGCGGAATGTGTGGGCACTAACTTGTGTAACAGCGGCGCCCAAAATGCCTTCCAGGATTCCTACCAAGATCGACCTTACCGTCATGACAGGGAGACTTGAGTCATCTTCCAAGGAGAACATATGGACCTCGCTTGGAATGTGTTCTCTTGTTCCGTCAGACTTTACACTTGCATTTTCCGACCTTGCTTTTTCCGTATCATCTTGGCCAGCAAGTGAGGTTTTTTCCTGAGGGTGATCCAGGCGGGAACTATATGTTCTTTCGCCCGAGCTTCTAAAAGATCGGGATCTGGAAGGCGCAAGAGTAGCGTCAAGGAAAGAAGATGAGTCGCCTTCCCCGAGCGATTGGTCTTCATCTATGTGCGGAAAGAAAGAATCTTGATGTTGGATTGGTGGTTCACTGTCGCGTACTACCCCAAAATGTCCTCGTGATTCGTCTACGGGGGGTGTTTGAGTTTTTCTCAAAGACATGACCATTATATATTAAGATTTTCGAAAGTGTCGATGCTGAAGGTACTGAGATATAGGGTAATTTATGAGGTAAGGTGTAGTGTGTAGCCGCACCAAGAATCGCCGAACAGATGGCGAAAGGTATATCGATGGGTGGGAGTGGACTAAGAATGGCGATGAAGAGGTCGTTGAAGGAATTTGCTGTAGTTTTGTTGAGTAAATCACAATCGGGATATAAACAGCAACTATACGCGTCAATTGAGTAACTGATGATGAGCTTGCTTCACAATGAATTCTATGTGCTCTAGTGGTCTATGGGTCACCTTCAGTACTTGCGTGTCACTGGTGGATAATTCCAGATAGTACTTCGTTGAGCCAGGCAGATATCTGAGGTATAAGATATCACCACAGGATCAACCAGGCAGTCACTATGGCTGCAGACTGGGGTTCACATTCAACCCTTCAGTGACCGGGTCAGATTGGCTGAGCTGCCGCGTTGAAGGTCTGCGCTTCAAGTACTTGCAGCCCAACCTTAATAATCAATTTGGAACGGTCGGTTAAACCTTCCCCGTCCAACTCGAGCTTTTAGTCGTGTCCTTGAGTGAGCCGCCACCTGAGCCGCCGGGAATTCAAGCGCTATCGCTATGCATATCTGATCATACGTTTTCGAGATCTTCAAGTCAGCATGACTTTCGCCCAGTCATCTAATTGTGGAATTGTTTGAACCAGTAAAGCTCTTGGGCCACCGACTTGGACTCTGGTTGATATATGTACCCTGCCTATCATTATATTTTCCTGCGCGCTATTCACCAATTTCTCGTCCATTTGGCCAGAAACCTGTGTCATGTTGTGTTGCACAACTGCGATTTAGGTCCCAGACGAGCGCCCTTGCATGAGACTTGTCTTGTCTTGTCTTGACCACCCGGATCATTTGCGACGGTTGAAATACATCTGGTCCGCTTCTCCTATGACGAGGCCGCAAACGTCTGGCTTCAGCTTGATCATGTCCTCATAATAATAACGTGCAAAATCCAACGAAATCCATCAAGCGCACGACTGTCCCAGATGGGGCACGAGAGGCTCGATATGATGACCACGCACGCAAGATGAACAAGGTCTCGATTGCAAAGACATGCGATAAAATGTAAGGCCTTGCTGATTTATAGACTCGACACCACCCGGTGACCGTGTCCGTATCATGTGGTCAACAAATTGTTGGAGGCTGGAGGCGAAGCACCGAGTCAGATCAAACTCTGCGTGGTTCAATTAATGTGTTCACAGTGCGGCACATAGATGCGGCTTTGAACCAGTCACCGCATCTTCACACAGATACTGACAGATACAAGATGTGACATGTGTTTCTACAGTGGTCAAATTGCGCTTTCCGTGAAATCCTCACTGGCGATTTCGCGAATCAAACCTCAAGCTTTTTGATTCTGGGCCACTTTTATTTGAGCATCGAATGTCTAGTTTTTCTCGTCGCCCATTGGACAGGTCAGTACTGTTTGATTTCTCACCGGAACCTAAAGTCTGTTCTGACAATTTCCAAAGCAATCGCCATCCGCTCCTTCGACTTGCCCTCTCTCAAATTCGACGGAGACCGGTTATCTTCTTTGGTGTACCCTTCGTTGGCAAGTGCATATCCATCAACTACGGCATAAATTACTTCCTCACTTGTATTCCAAATCATCGTCTGCTACAGGAACCCTGTTGACTGGATCATTCCTGTTATCTAAATTGACACAAACCCGGTACGATTATAACGCTACTCGGGTTCACACCCTTGCCGAGGAAGAACGACTCCAGCTCGATCGTAACCGTAAGCGAGTTGACCTACGTGAAGAGTATTTTCGATTAAGTCAACCGGGCGACGTAGGAGACTCGTTCGTCTCCGCACGTCCAGGCGGTACCCAGCAAGCACCTGAGGTGAACAACAAAAAGAATCGCCAGAGAAATTGGGAATGGGACGGTGAACAAGTTCGGGTACCTCGCCCGCCTGGGATGGCTGAGTGGGGAGCTGTTGACCCACGGGAAAGGAGCCCTGATGCTGGCACACGACTGGTCTGAAGATTGGAGGTTTGCTACGTCTCCTTTGAGGAAATAACATTGCATATCCAACACGCTCATTGATCTAGGCGCTTCGTAAAACAGAAAATCAAGTCGCCGAGAAACCCCGATTTTGCTGCGCCTGCGTCCGGCTTGTCAACCGTATCAATATGGATCTCGCCAGGTCAGACCCTGATTTCAAACTTTATATGAGGTAGATTTTTCATCGAGTGCTTGCGCTATCCTTACATGTAATCTCATCGCTTACAGTAAATGAATCCGCCGACTGTGATGCCAGCCACTGCTTCACACCATACGATTGCCTTGTAGTTCCCGGTGACGAAAACATACTGGTTATCGCAAAAGTCGATGTGTTGAAGTGTGCTTCGAGATTGAAAGCCTGGGACTCTGACATGTTGATATGCACAGCACATCCGGTCACTAGCTTGTCTCGCACTCTGACTCCAGGTATCAAAGGTATCGCGTTCCTGTAGGGTTCAACTTGTAATCGTTAATGACTCACTGCCGTTGTCCCAGCTCTGATGTAAAGCTTTCCAAATCATTAATTCACAATCGAAAATCATTGACTGCGACACTGCAACGGAAAAGATTTTTCAACTTAATGTATTTTCTTGTTGCATGTGCCCAAGGCATATGGGAGATTGCCACAACACATTTTAGCTCACAGAGTCTCTGGGGTATTGATGAAGAATTTTCATCAAGACCAATAAGATCGACATTTCACCTCTTTGCAATCGACCGCCAACGTGACGTCGCTGTAGACAGCTCGATTTGCTATAATCACACGACGGGACGAGAGTGACCATTGTACCGAACAAAACCTATATTTTCCTTCTGATGTTGTCGTGCCTTGCTTATATATATAGCATGGCTTATTCAAAACCATCCAGGGCTCTGTACTGCGCTGTCAAAGTCTTGTACATGGCGCTGTTGGTGTAGCGGTTAGCATTGAAGCCTTCCATCGTGAACAGCTTTAGTCCGGGGTTCGAATCCCCGACAGTGCAAATATTTTTGTGTGTTGTTGCGGGCAAGAGTGCACCACCCATATACAACAAAAGACCAGACCCCTTCGCGGCACCATTTTCACAACTTCTGGATTTCAGAGGCTGAGGCTAATTTTGAGATGAGAATTTGAGCAGAAAATGAGATGAGGCTCGAGTCTGTTTGAGCAATATGTTTGTTAGAAGAGGAACCGATATCTGTCGAAGTGTGTGCACATCGGCATGCTTGTACGCAAAGTTTTGTGGGGATGTCCTCCGAGAACTTTAGCAAGCCTAAGTTGGTAGGTAGTCATTTTGGTTTCTTGGTGACACTCATGTCTAAAAGTCTGAATTGAAAGAAGGGTTTCTGTTCGGCGCTGGTTTATTGGAAAAGGGGATATGTTATCGGTGGGGCATTCGATATGAGCAAGGAATGGAATGTGTCTATCCGCATAACGATCACAGTGGCACGTGAAGCTCGAAGACAACCAGTTCGTCAAAGATGAGTGAGATATAAAATGGCTGTGTATCTATTTTGCAAAGAAGCAACGAACAAGACACCGAGTGAACGCATTCGGCTTGTGAAGTTCTTTTGGGCTACGTATGACATCGGTCGCGGCGGCTGGGCACCATAAGGTTTTCGCTATCGGAGACAAGAGGCGAGTGGGGCGCGAGTTAGCCGTAGCTTCACAACGATCACAAGATATTTCGATTCGGTTTTCAAGTCTACCGACGATGCAGGCCATTGGAATTTAAAATGCTTCTAGAACCCGCTTATAATCTTAACAAACTAGTCAGGACTGGTATTTCAAAACATTCACCTTCAATTTAAATCTTCTTGCAATAAACTAGCAAAACTTCAGTTCGAAAACCATGCACTGCCAATCCAACAGTTTATTTCTTTTGATCACACTTGCTTCATCCTTGTTTCAATTATCTCATGCCCTCCCTCATGGCTTAGAAAGAAAAGTTAGACGGAGTCTGAAGAAGACATTACTTCTCCGAAGAGAAGAGGAGCCAGGTCATGATCTAAAAGAAACCACAGGACAAGACGAAACTCCAATCCAAAAAAAAATCAGTGCAATGTTTCAGGATGTAGTGAAGATGGGTTTCAATATGGATCAAAGTGTTGCCAACTTTGCTTCTAATTCATCTGAGATCCAAAAAGGAACTGATACGGTGAAAGGATTAATACCAACAGTTTTGAAAGCTCAAGATGAACTTTATAAATCCACCAAGCTCTCTAATGCCACTCAGGACGAGGAAGTCAAGAAGGCAATGACAGTAGCCAAGGCATCTGGTGAAGTCCTTATGTCAGTGAATCTTCCCTTTCCGAAGATATCAACTAGCAGTGCGGGTAACTGATATCCTCATTTCCTTCCAGAAAAGCTTTGGATGCAATTGCGGCCAGTCCAGAAGATGCCAAGTTAGTAAAAACCACCCATTTTTACGAGGAATTTGACGTCTTATGGGCGCCTAAAAGTCGTGCAACCTCATCAAATTTTTCAATCTATTTATCTCACATATACTAATTCTTTTGTTTGTATCAGTGTGATAAAGACAAATTACAAAGCCATGGCTGAAGCCTTTGAGAAAATCATCGACGGTACGGGCCAAGTTTTTGTTCATTGCAACTTGAATAAACTTGATGGCTGACTGACATGATAATTTCAAATAATTATCTATCCAGGCAGCGAAAGATTAGCTGAGGCTGCTGACCCTACCCCTCAATTGAATGAGGAGGGAATCTTACCTCAATCAGCAAATCCAGATGGCATCGAAGCTGGAAAAGAATCGAATTCTGGAAAGAAATCTGATGAGAAACAAGCTCCCACTTCCAGGGGAGAGGTACTTGAAACGGGAAAAACTGATGTTGAACAATCATCAACTCCTGAAGAAAAATTGGCTGAATCCACAAAAGGTGATGTTGAACAATCAGATACCAAACTCACTGGACAATCAGACGTATCAGCTACAAGGTCTAAAGAAGAAGTAACTGCAGCGTTAGATGAAGCAAGCAGAGGATAATTAGTTTTGAAAAACAATGCTATTAGTACAACCCGTCAATCTTGCTTAGGCCGTTGGTGTTAATAATACTAAATCATGTATAATCAGAAAGAACATCACCCAATGATTTGGTTTTCTTGATCATGATCTCAACCCCCTTTTAATTCACTTGTCTTTCTTACAATTCTTTCATTATCATTTAAATAGAATTTCTCAAACTCATTGTATTGTATTTTTAGCATAAGTTTCTTGTGATTATAGAACACTAGAGAATGTGCGGGCATGCCCGCCACAGCTTGACTGTTCCACAATTTGCCCGGAAACACTGAAACTGCCAAAATGAAGCAGTTCCTAACACCTGCTTACCTAGCTCCGACTCAGAATTTTACACACCTTTCAAGACACAAAGATGGAATCTGTCACCTAAGCACACTTTGAAGTCCAGGCCAATATTTGTTTATCCTAATTATAGAAAACCAGGTGGTATAAGATTGCAGACCACATTTGCCACAAAAGTTGAGAAAGGCATGTTGATTACAAATATTCTCACTATCACAAGCAAGCTCAAACAAAGGGCATATATCAAGTTTAAAGGTTGTAGTCTTAGTGAGAGATTCAAGAAAACAGAGATGAATACTAGTAGACCAAAAGAAGACAGATGACAAAGTAGTTGTTACAAAATGGGTGGAATAAAAATTGGTACAGCAGAGAATTTTTGTATTGATAGATTGGGCAATTGAAATATTGTGGTATAGAATTGGTTTCCAGGTGTTGAAATTTGTTAGGAGAGTTGAGCTAAGCAGAATAGGAGGGACAGGTCACTTTTTATAGATTGAAAACAAATGTATGCCAAGGCAGGAACACAACATTTTGAGTCAGGTTTTGAACATCTTGCTACCACTGTAAACTTCATACATTTTCCACAAGTGGGAATTGTAACATGATTAAGAGCATAGTTTGTCATGAAATGATCCATCACTTTACACCTGAGCAATAACACCACACTACATTTTTCAGCAGGCTGAGTGAATGAGTGGCTAGCTGTAATGGCTCCAACAGGATAGGAGCAAGAGTCATTGCATAGTTAATAGATTGTAACATGAAGATTAGAAGCTCTCATGGGCTTCAGAGTACAAGGTGTTATTAAAGTGTGGATGTTACACTATGAGCATATGCTTGTACATGGCTCATTACACTAGCATGACATATACAGCTGTTTGAAGAAAGGTTGACAGCTTTTTCTTGGAGAAAGTTGTCTCCGCAGTGGGTAAAAACCGAAAGACAACTTGATTACAGGTTTCATCTTTCCTGTATTCTTTCAATTAGCGGAGAGACAAAACCAAGTGCGAGAAAAAATCCAGGTTTTACATGTTGACAAGATTTTCAAAAGAATCAAGCTTTGTTGAAACAGCTGTAGATCTGCTCTCCTATCTGCTCACGTAGATAATTGAATCATGTGTAATACATGATGTAACTGGTTTCAGCTTGGCAAAAGCATTCTAATTGACTACATACACTGACTCAAAGGTTTGGTGTAATTTCATCAACTAAATTTTATGTAACATCCTTTGTGTTACTGACAAATGGCGTCAAAATTACTGCCTGAGTATCTATCACAGCTTCCAGCTACTAGGCTCTGGGAGTGAAAAGAGTTACAGATTTATCACATGTGATTCATTTATTTAGAGTATCCACAGCGGACTTTTGAACTTCAAATCTTGTTGTCCACAGCATACTATTCGTTTTTGGACTTTGATATTCAATAGAAGCATACTTAAACTCTGCTTGAATAGAACACACTTGGTTTGATCAGTGTGATTGAAAAAAATTACAAATGGTCTTTGGAACTGCAAATTGACACTATGTTGCTCTATGATAACAATCAATGTTTTTGTGACCATATGAGATTTTTTACAAACTTGTTTTCAATGGGATCAAACAAATTGAAAGGTGTCAAAGGGGGATTATAGAGGTGATGTGGCAGAGGAAGCTACAAAAAGTTGACACATGCAGTGTTGGCATGTGATCTTTTGACTTTTCAAATTTTTGGATCTGGCCTTCAAATTTAAAGTCAGCTTCAAAGATTTGAAAAGTCAAAAAACCAAATCTTTAAATTTGAACAATCTGACGTGCAAAAGTTTGACAATTTCACCTTCAAACTTAACATTTCAAAAGACAAATGAGCAGACCTTTATGTACACATCCCCACACTTAGGAATCATAATTGTTGGGGTTTGGACAAACCCTGGTCACACTTCTGCAGAAACTGAAGGATTACATAAATCTCTTGGAGGGGATTGTACATGATAGCCACCTGCTTACTCAGCCTTCTGCACATATGTACCCCACAGGTAGCATTTTGTTGAGATCTCAGCAAAAAAGTGGACATGTCAAGATCTTGCCAAACACTTGCCAAACTTTCAGAGTTTGGCCAGATTTTGGAAGGTATGGCTATACTATCACCAGCTGATTTCTGGTCAAAAGGTGAAATTTTGGTCAGAATTCATGCTGGGCTGGCCGGTTGGTCTGGGGAGAGATCAACCAGTCTTTTGGCGAAGACAGTAAGAGGAAATCTCTTCAAGGGATGTAAAATTGAAGGCTGTGAAATTAGACTTCAGACTTCACATTTACCTCCATAGATGTGGTTCTAGTCATTCATTTTTTATACTGACAGCTGGAGAGCTCCTAGAATCCATTCTTTGGTCAGGGAGCTCCTCCCCATCTTCCTCAACATCAATGCCTTAACCCACAAGGGGTGAATGGTGTGGCTATGGGAGGGAACAAGGATGTTCCCTTGATCAGCTCCTCAATGATTGGCAGCATACAAACCTGTCTTGGAGACGCTCTGTAGGCCGCCAGATGGCCCATCTAACAGCGGTCATGCAATATTGCCTTCTGACTGCCACACCACTGACCATCTGGCGGTGGCTCTCCACCACCAAGAGATTCTTGCCATCTGATGGTATTCCATGCCCACCATATGACGGTATGAATTACCCTGTGGTCTGGTGTTGATGTCATGGCTCAGGTGTACAGTGGTATGTAGATCCTTTTATGACAGACTATACTCTTAATTATTTTCCCATTCCCACTTGGGTATAATGTATACTATTTACAGTGTACAGTACCAAGCATTGCAGGTCACACAAACAAAGGAATTGTGATTGTATAATCAAATGCAACCAAGACCAAATGATTAAGAACAAACAAAATTGAAAATTGAGAATCTAAAGCAGATGGTGGTCAGGCAATATGGAAAAGTACATTCTTTTCCTTTCCACAAGGTGAGAAATGCACAGTTGCACACTAACAAAGCATAACACTATCACATCCTGGTTAACTCTAATGTGAAGAGAAACAAAAGATAACATTCAAAAACAAAAAGCAAGAATACAATCACAGACTGTGATATCATGACCACTCTCTTTTCTTTTGTTCTCTATTTCTTTTGTCTTATGCTCTTCGAGTGTGATTTTCCTTTACATTGTGTGCTTTTTGAATGTATCTTTCTTGTATTTTCTTTGATGAATCCTCCTGGTTTTGTCCATCAAAACTGTCAACTGGACCCTAGTATAATCAAATCCCACAATTCTCCTTTTCATCATGATGTCTTTGACATTGCTGTGTTGTACCATGTTCATATTAATATAGTTCTTCATTGGATAGATGGACATCTATATAAGACACACATCCCTTGCTTGAGGAATGCATCCCCAAGCAGCTTCCACAACACATTCACTCAACCAAATCACTAGTAGAAACAACAGGACTGACCTTGAAAAAGTATCAAAACTGCCCGGATGCAAGATTAATCGGACAACAGGATTGGATGGTACTTGTGCTAGTCTGGTGCAGATTTTTATATTTTAGAGATTGTGAAAAGTAATTGTGTGATCTATCTGTCAGAGGCTTGGTAATAATTGAGTATAAGGCAGCCCACAGTCTCTCTTGAGTAATCTGGGTCTGCGGGGATCTTTTCATCACTCTTACAGTCTCATTTTTCTGAAGTGATTGTTCATAAATAACAATATTTTGGGGTGATGTGAGAATGGGGTATCTGAGTGGTGAATTAGCTTTCTCTGAATCTGACTTGTCTGAAATTGACTGTTGGTTGAAAAGTGGTAAGGGTTAGAGCATCCCCAGCCGTGTGCCGTAAACCGTGACGTACGTAGATTTGGGGTATTTTTATCCACAGCCGTTACCCCAAATACATACTTAGCTTAGGCAATTCTCTACGTGCGAGCCAAAATAGGCCAAATATGTTCTATTTTGGCTCGCACCCCAAATCCTTCCGTACCTCACTTTCCCCATAACTCCAACCTGTACAATCGCACTCTCTGCAAATCATACACCTCGATGATGAGCTAACCCATAATACACTTTGCAAATTATGCTACAAGCCGTACTGTACGGCACCACGGCTGTGCATGGTTCAAAATCCATGCATCAAACAGTACAGTCGATCCCAGAAAGGTTGGAAAAATTGAAAAACTCGACTGGTCGACCAGGTCCGTGCGCCATGGGTTCAAGCAGAGAAGCGGATACTTTATGAGTCAAGGTCGGTCTACGTCAGTGTCTGTGCTGAGCAGTAGTGCGCAGAGTAATGCTTCTGCTCCTAGTTCACTAGTCTTTCTTTTGACACCTATGGAACATGCCGATTCGATGGGCTTGGCCACCCCCATTTTCACCAGGCCACCCCACCCCCAATCTCTTCGTTGGTTCCAAAGCCCTCCTTCTGCGGACACCCTGCCCAATTCCTCGATTCCTAATCATCCTCATTCCTCGTTTCCTAACCATTCTCAAATCATGGGTTATCTCCGTTATTCCGAGGATATCAAGTCCCTAGCTATCCGAATGGCAATCGAAGGCCACACTCACACCTATATCAACTGCACTCTTAAAACCAAGATTTCTTACAATTCATTTGCAAGATGGCGAGCGTTATATGTCCGGACCAACCGAGTGATTGCAGACCCGGCAACTTATGGAGCAAGAGGCCAACCACACGCCCTATCGGACGATCATCTATTGCTCTTGAAGGATATCATTACTCATTCCCCTGCTTTATACCTCGATGAAATTCAAAAAAGACTCTTTGAAATAACCGGGCTGGATATTGGCAGATCCACTATTTCCCGTGCACTCAAGTCACGACTTGGTTTATCGTTGCTTGTCACTCGTGGGGTTCACCAGAAACAATCTTTGGCCGAGCGTGTTAAGTTTATCAAGCGTATTGCAAATATTCCAGCAGAATATTTAGTTTTCATTGGTGAGGTTTCAAGTTTTCAATCATCTCTGACAATGACTCCAAGGCCAACTGACCTCTCGATTGATTTCTAAACGTTTTTAGACAAATCCGGGGTCGTCGGGCGAGATGCAACAAGAAAGAAAAGTTGGGCGCCGACTGGAACTCGCACGGTCCGTCAAACTCGCTATCAAGATACCGACCACTGGACGATCCTACCAGCCGTTTGTGAGCAAGGTATGATCGCAGGGACGGTAGTTAAAGGCCCGGTGGAACGTGTGCATGTTGAGCTTTTCCTTGCTCAAAAACTGGTGAGTTGTTATTCTGGCTCAACACTGTCTCATTAATCTGATACTGATGGTCATAACCGCTGGTGCAGCTTCCGGTGATGAATGCTTACCCAGCTCCCAGGTCTGTTCTTATTTTGGACAACGCCAAGATCCATCACGGAGGTAAGATAGAGCAGTTATGCAAAGAGAAGGGGATCTTATTGGAGTACTTACCTGCGTACTTGCCAGACCTCAATCCAATTGAAAAAGCTTTTAATTGCATGAAGAAACGGCTGCAACGCGAACAACGATGGAATTATGAGAATGATAAATGTCGCTACATCCTGGGAGTGGCGGGAAGAGTAATGACCAGACCGTTAATGCAGCCTCTGATTGTTTCTAGTGGTTATGTGACTCAGTTTTATTGGGTTCGATATAATTTACAGTTTCCAGCCTAGCAGGTAAGCCAACGGTTTCTCGTTTTGATGGGTCATACCGTTTTCTTTCACCTTTTCAAAGTGGCTGACAATCACATAATTTCTAGACAGGCGAGTTTTTAATAAAGGTTTCTCCTTTGTTTGCCTATGATGCAAGACCATTTCGATCTTGATATTAAAATTCAATGGTATTAAATCAAAAATTTATTTAGGTTTTCTATCACCTATCAGTATAAAAGAATTTAGATTGTTTTTTCTATCACGTATGAGAACACAAAATATCTGTTGCAAACATAACTTGACATATTTGAATGCTTGTATTTTCTTTTGTTTCATCAAATCATACACATTAATATATTTTTTTGTTCATTTTCAATCAGATATTCAAAACTGTGGAATGCAATATTCCTTTTCAATTTTGGTTCACATAAAGTAGCGCGTTTCTAACGCACTTGGTGATTTTTTTTGCATAATTTGAGTATAAGTCCTTTGCATATATTTTGCATATTTTCATTATGGTAAGTCTTTGAGTGACCCAAAAAATACCATTACAGCTGGATGTAGAGGTGTTTTTCGGGTGCCGGAAGTTAATCAAACATCAATATTATAATTGATGTTTTTATTCCTCAACGTGATAGCGCGCATTCACTAGAGGGCGCGCAAGTTTGGTCAATAACATATTCACATTTCATTCATCAAGCGAGTATAACTTTTTGGGGGGATTCATCAGGTAAACAAATCGAGACAAGACACCATTTTTAGGGTTTTTTAAGCCTGACTATCAGAGCAATGAGACGCAAATGGAAATGAAATCGGTCTGGAGGTAGAAGAGACAGGACACTTTTTTTCTTAAGGTAGACAATCCGAGACAACACAAACTTTTTAGGTTTTTTTAAGCAAGACTATCAGAGCGATCAGACACAAACGGAAATAATATAGGTCTGGAGGTAGAAGCAACAGTACTTTGGTTTTAATTTTTAAGAACAAATATGATGAGATAATCTAGAGCTCCATGCTGGAATCAAAAGGCACTCTGGGGTTATCAATTTCGTCTTGGATGAGGTGGTGATAAAATCAACGAGCGCAATTCATCAGCCTCATGGCCGTACCGCGTTTGATCCCCATTTCAATGAGATCTTCCAAGCCGGTTTCTTCTGGGTAAAGGAAAGCATCAAAACGCTCAATATCATGATCTAATAATAATTGGCAAGCCTCGTCAATCTTGCCCACTCGAACTCCCGCAAAGGCCATGTATTCCTCCATGTTGGCATGAGTCCTGATGCGGTCAACTTCGTAAGGGTCAATAACCAAATTGTAACCTTGCGCTTCGGAGATGGTACCAGGATGAATTGGTGACCTTTTGGTGGCCTCCTTGTCAACGTGGTCATCGTTTTTGCCGCCACGCACGTCAGTTTGCATCTTCACTGGCCGTTTGAGATCGGTCCATTCAAACCCTTCGACTTCGGGTGGAATATCTACGGTGACCGCTGGGTTTTTCACCTGCGACAGAGATGGTCAGTCTTCCAATGCTGTAAGAATTATCACACGGGCATATAAGACTGAGGCACTCACCATGTGCTCAGCCCATATTCCCAAAAGTTGGAAATTCATGGGCATTACCTTTGTCACATCGTCATGCTTATAGACACGCCAACCTTCGGCATTATTGTTATTCGCGGTGCTATACTTCAACATGAGGGCAGCCAGGGCCGCATCGACGGGGTCTTCAGGTGCCGCATGAGCTAGATCAGAATTCGTCGTAATGACATTATTGGAGATGTTCTTTGCTTGTAATTGATGTTGGCCAATTGAGAGAATCTAAGGAAAAAAGGCAATCAGATCATATGCCAGTTATTAATGTTTCTATCAATGAAAAAACAACATTACCCGTTCAGCTTCCAGTTTTTTCTTGTTTGGATCTTCCATCAAGGTGTCGAATCCAGCCACTCGCTTAGGATAAGACAAAACCGCCGAAAAAAAGTCCTCAAGATCTTCATCGCAAGTGATTTCGGTCTCTGCACCTTTATTGTACACCTCATGGGCATGAAGGTAGGCAAAAACCCTCACGGAATTGGTCGCATCGGCCGCCTTGAAAATGAAACTATTGCCTTGGGAATTTTTACCCATGTCGTCAGATAACTCAAACAGTCGAGCCTTCAAGTCCGCAAAGGAATTGTTGTTGACATCGATCGCAAACTTTCGGGCCTTGAAGGTGTGTGTATAGTATTTTGGAGCACGATTCTTAGCAATGGTGGGTCCTCTAGCTGGATTGACGCCTTGGCGCGAATAGACCACAAACTTGAGCCACAAGTCATGCATGACTTCGGTTGGTTCTTCTGCTTCTACAACAAATCATATCCAAATGTAAACAAAATATACATTAACTTGATATCAAAAATTAATGACAATTAATACAATTTTTCAAAGGACTCTCACCGTGTTCATCAGCATCGTCGATTTGGTCCCAAGCCATCCCGTCGCGCCCATCCTCGTCAGAATCGTCAGAATCATCTGAATTGTCAGAACCTGCAGTGTTGGAAGTTTGGTTGCCTAAATAGTTGGAAGGACTTTCTCGACGGAGATGATTGAGTAAGCGATGGTCCGCAGTTTGAGAGGGCAAATTGTCAAGCGAGTTTTGAGAAAACTCTTGGGCGATGATCGCGTTATTGTGGGAGGCGCCACTGTCAGAAAGGAAACCGGGAAATATATTATCGCGACTGATGTTGGAAGCTTGAGAAGCCAAAGCGGGAAATGTATCATCTTCAGGAGACAAATGAGTGAAGCGACGATGGTTGAAGTTTTGAGGTGTTTGGACCAACGCTTGTGGACTTTCAAAGCTAGTAAATGGAATTACATCTGAGTTTTGATGACTGATACTGGGATTGACACTTTGACGAGTTTGATCAAAAAGATGAGAATCCAAGGTCCGTTCATGAGTAACACTTGGGATGACGGGATGTTGGTCATGAAGGTTTCTGCTGGGTATCAAAGTTGGTGTCATCAAAGCAGAGTGTCTTCTGTTTGAGTCGGCCAAGTTTGGAGGGGTTGGAGGGGGTCCAGAGCCTTGTACGTTGGGGTCAGCAAAGTTTGGAGGTGTTTGAGGTGGTCCACGTTGTTGAAAAAATTGGCACCGGCTGGCTTGATGATAAAAAAACGTTCGTTTTGGATCCTGCGGACTCGACCTGGGTATTCAAAGTAAGTTAGTAAGTAATGTGTAAGTAATATGCATCCGACTGAGATTGGTAAACCACTCACCACCTGTGTGCACATTGACCATCAATGTGTCTCGGTGGAAATCCAGTAGGCTCATTGGTGGTCAAGTCGAAAGAGGTGTTGGGTGTATGTTGAGTATGATTGGCCATGGAGCAGATCCAGAAGTTGCTGAAGTGGAACCGAAAGTCAAAGCAGGAGCTGATTGTCGAGGTGATGTCGCAACAGGTCGAAACAGGTAGAGGGGAATAGGGTGGAACCGGAGGAAATGGGGTTGAAAAAAGACAAAAGGGGGGGCCATCCGCGATAGAGCACACTTGGCCATCGAAGCTCTGTGGAGAGTGATCGAAAGTTCGGCTTGAGATAGCTGTCCAAATCATGGTTAGCTTCAAAGTGACCCTCTCTGTGTGACCAAGATATCCTGTCTGCTTACCGAGTTATCCTCTCTGCTCGAACCCATGGCGCACGGACCTGGTCGACCAGTCGAGTTTTTCAATTTTTCCAACCTTTCTGGGATCGACTGTACCCTAAGCGATCCGTGCGACCCTCCGTACGGTACGAATTTACGGCACGGCTGGGGATGCTCTTAGGGGTTAAAACTTTCATCTCGATCATCTTCCAAAATCAAACTACATAATACACATCCTCATCCACCATCAAATCATGAATAACCAATCATCAAGCATTCCTACAGTGCTATGTTAGTATTTTCTTTCTCTCATTCGATCTCTTGATCATACTTTACTAACTCGCCACTGTTTCTTTCCTTTGATATAGTGACCAACGATGATGGACCTTGTTCAAGCTCCGAATCTCCTTTCATCCTTTCATTCTCTCGTCATCTTCGATCCGCTTTCCTAGGTTCATCACCAGAAAAACTAAAAGTAGTCTTACCAGATTCCCAAAAATCATGGATCGGTAAAGCTTACATCATCAAAGATACCATTTCACTTAGTTATTTTGATCCAGAAAGTTCAAGAAGATCAGATCAACCAATCAAAGATTTAAATCATCAAGAAGATCAATGGATCTTATTAAGTGGTACACCTGCAAGTTGTTCTAACATTTCATTATTCAATTTATTTCCCAATCAAATCGATTTAATCATCTCAGGTCCAAATTATGGTCGAAACACAAGTAGTGCCTTTAGTCTTTCTTCTGGTACGATTGGTGCTTCTTTAGATGCTGCTCTATCAAATCATAAAACTATTGCTTTGTCTTATGGAATCTTTCAAAGACCGGTTTCGGATGAGATTCTTGAAGCGGCTAATCAGATTGCTGTGAAGATTATCAAACAACTTTGGGTTTCGGGATTTGTTCAACCTGATCAAGAAGCTGATCATGTACACCTTTATAGTGTTAACATTCCGGTAATCTTGAAATTCACTCTGATTTCACTTTCTATGTGCTTGTGGTTGTGATTGAAAAGATGAAAACTGATTTTGGAAACTTTGAATCGGATCTTTTAAGCTTGTACCAGCCATCTTGACCGATCCACAGGTGATTTGGACCACTGAAGCCCACACTCGTTATGGTCGACTATTCTTACCTTCTTCAACAGCCAAACCTGCCGCACCTGCAGAAATCGACGAAGCTTCTGCATCCTCAACTGAATTAACATCCTCTGAGGCTCCTACAACAGTTTCTTCTGAACACCCTGCCAAATTTATCTTCAAACCTGATATCAGTGCACTTGTGGACCCTAATGCGACTCATCATCCAGTTGGAAGTGATGCTTGGGCTCTTAACAAAGGATTATGTACTGTAACACCTTTACGTGCGGCTTTTGCGGCTGCTCGACAACCTACAACTATTGAAGAACTTGATAAAGATGGCATAAAGGTTTGGAAACTTTGATTAAGTTTGGAACAAGAATGTTAGCTTGAAAGAGGTTTAGGATTTATAGATTTTTGTTTGATCTTGTACCAGACTGTTTTTGAATGTGTAGTATGATTTGCATTTGATTTACTTATTCTTTTGGCAAGTGATGATTTCATTTAATTTTTCAATTCGAGTTTAGCAATATAGGTTTTGGAGAAACAGTCAAAACAGCGTAGAGGGCCTCAATTGGATGAAATTGAAGTTTTGGGATTCAAAAGAGTGTAAAACATGCACAGGATACAAAGTGGAAGATGATCAAAATTTCCTTATTAATAGGATACATGCACATATCCACAAGGTTTTTGATGATTGGGTTTTTCCAACGTGTGTGATTCGATACTATCAGAATGTCTGTCCTATACCAAAAGATTTGATCTTATAACAACTTTTGGACACATTACCGTAACAAAGGTGTGAAAGAAATATGGGATGACATATTTGGAAAGTGTTGAAAATTCATTGCCTCTACACATCTGACGGAATCTCTCATCTTCAAGGGAAAGACAAAGATAATAAACAAACAAAAAAGGAAATCATAAACATCCGAAAGTTTGGAGACCAAAAAAATTGATTGATAAACAAGATGGTCTAAGCTATCATATTCCTATGATACATCAAAACTTTGATCAATTCATGCTTTGGATCAGCAAATAAAATCATCATGTTCCGATTTCTGATTTCTTGCAACACCTTCTGAACATATTCAATGTTTTGCTAGTCATAAATTTCAACTATGATAAACGAATCTTGATTGGTACCCATCCAAATCGCGCACCTAAATGGAATAAAAAGATGGTGACTTGATCAGAAGTTACTGTTGAAATACGGTTGATTGATTCCTCCATTCCTAAAAAATGATAAGATTCAAAACCTATTCTCGGTTCCTTGGGAATTCTTTTAATTCTAATAAAATATCTTTAATTTTTTTCATCGATCATGTTGATTTTTTTTGACTAACGATGAAAGAAAGAAAAAAATTACAGACATTGTATCAGAAGCAGCCAAATTCAAATGAAACCAATAGTAAGGTTTAATCCTCATCTTTTCTGGAACGGCACGGAAAACTCAAAGGAATCGTGTTGAAAACTTCTACTCAATTTGAAAGTGTCTAGAAGGTGTGGTCAAAAAGAAACTGGAGTATGGCCAATTTGTAGAATGAATCGAGCCTTTTAAACGCATAAAGGATCATTGAAATGACGTAAATCTTCAAGGAAACTAAATAATCTACTGCGATCAAGTTGTTCATGATTTCTTTTTTGATATTTTCTTGACTTTTGATCAATCTTTGGTGCTCTGACATATAAATGATAGATGGTTGATTGGAATTGAACCAAGGAAATTTGAACTTTTAGATGACAATCGAAAGAGAAAACGTAAATAGGGTTGATGAAGAGTTCGACGAACGGAGAAGATGAAACTCCTCAAAGAAAAGCCAGAGGGCCAGTGGTGATAAGGAACCAGGGCTCTTGACCCTCTACGGTATGAATATGCATCTTCCTATGACTCGCCACGGGACGAGTGCCGTATTTCGTAGACTGTTCGGCAAAGAATGTATGCGCGGTAATTGACCGATCGTAGATATGATGAATGTGGTCGGACTTTGATACCGATGACTTGGATTTGTTAATCATCAGATAGACTTAAAATATCCTTTGGTGGTTCGAATCTCGATAGAACATGAATCATATAAAAGGCCAACTCTTTGGTTTCAAGTGTGGATCTTTGAGTAAGGTTTGGTGGAGATAGAGAAAGTCGAACTTGTGGCCTTTAGATGGAAATCAAAGGACCATGTCAGGGAGTTGGACGATATATGATTCAAAAGTATACGTATGTGGAGAATGAGTTTGACCAGAAAGCTCTTGCAGCTTCTTGCAGAACTATTTGTGAAGATCTATCATTCATACTGAGCGTGTACATAACGGTTGATGAGATCAAAGGATTTGTTGACTGTGGCCAAAGAATTCAAGGGATGATTGTGAAAACATAAACCAGAATAGAGCTATAAAGGTTTTCAAGAAGGAAAAGCTGAGATAACAAAACTTGATGGAAGAGATGAAAGATGAAGGGGAAAAAATCGATCCCAAGAAGAACTATTTATAAGAATCAGCCCTTCAGAGAACAACAGGGGCATTGTCATTCATGAAGTGAGCTTTTCCCCATAACGAATCATTAAAAAAGATACCGTCAATAGAAATCGATATCCAGCAAATTAGAAATCAGATCAAATGTCAATAACATGAAAAGATTACCTGGACTTCCTTCCAATGATTTACTTTTTTTGGTAAACAAGTTCAAAAATCAAGATTTCGGAATACAAAGCTTGATCTCTTTGATCGAACTTCTTAACCACATCAATCAAATTTGATCTCATGTAGGATTCTAAAATTCAATCAAACTGCTTTTGTGAAGTGACTGATTCTTTCATTAACCCGATTGGTGTACCTACTAAGATGTATTGCCAGAATCAGATTTGTGGAACAGAAACAGTGATGTCTGAAAGATAAACTAGCTATATGCGTCGATTCAAGAGTTTTGAGAACGTTCTATGATGATGATGATAATAATAAATATTCAATTTGAAAACAAAAATGAAATCAAAGACAAAGCCTAAACAAAGAGTCAAGTATAATATGATTCAAAATTAATATGTAGAGTTAAGAAAACGTTTATAAACAAGATGATGATAAATGCTTTAGTGATGTTTGAGTCAATATGATAGATGAAGAGATTCCAGGAGATTCCATGTTTAAGTTCTTCATGTTGATGATGTAAGAGAGAGAAAGAAAGAAA